ATCAACCCCATGCCCGAATAAGTCGAAACTTGGCAGAAGGGCGTCATAAAAAGTGTCACTGTAGTATTGGTACGGCTTCAAACTGTGGTGAACAGCCTATGTGATTGGTTAGGAATCACAGTATTTGTACTGTATTTTTATGAGGCTTCGCACTGTGACATTTTTTTGACGCCCTCCTGCTTGGTCCGCCATGACGATCATACATATTTCGGATTGTCTAAGAGCTCGATGTGTCATATCCTCCGAATCTACGGTAAAATCCGAATATTATCATAGCATCAAATCAACCAAGAACTTGTTGTACCTAGTGGCTTGACAATGTCTTCGTGTTCATGCTGCCGTTCCATTGACTCCGAGTTCTCGACCATCAGGCTACATTACCTAGCAACACAAACAAGTTTATTGAACGATGCCTAAGGCTAGACCTATGTATATGGGCAAATAAGACGAAGGACTACGGAAAATGATATGTCATGTTACGCGACGACTTCATTCAACCATGGTAAAACATCTCATGCAGACGCTAACTCTTGCCTGTTCACCAGCCATCCTCAGGTCACACGGCACCTAGAGTGTTACCTAATATAAAGATTTCCTTTTGCCTACAAAAACGGGATAGCAGGTAACAATAATATCCGTGTCTTCTGCGCAACCTGTCGTGTAAATTGCCAATATTCTGCCTCGCTGCACGCGATCGGCTGCTGCATCAACCGGCGGTCGGCCATTTACGATACCGTCACTCAGTTTCTTTTTTTTTTTCTCTCACTATTCCCGTTAATTCTACGCCTGTTCTAGTGTTGTCCGCGAAGCGTCGCATTTCGGGGTTAGGCATACTAAGAAGGCAGACTAAGATAGGCGTGATGGGGCGAAATATGCTGTTACATCTCAGCCTAGACTCCTGGTCGCCTGCGTCAATCAATTTAGCACACCTTCTCGTAGTTGGTAAATTAAAAGGCTACTGAACGATATCCCATGCATCGGTGGTCCTCTGCACATAGACAAGGCGGCCGGGCTGTATCTTACATTGGACATGTTTTCCTTTTTCATCTATTTGCAGACCCATGATGTTACGAAACCGTCCCTGGCCGCAGACAGGCCTAGCTTTTCTCCCGGTCGAGTATTCATTACACATGATGCCAGGGAGCAAAGCCCTATGGCTGAAGGAACTACGCTGAAGGCTGGCCAGACGTAGATCAATATGTCATGCATGTCTCTATTAGTATTTGCTTTTGTCTAGCGAGGCACGAGATTCCCACGTTCTCCAACCCAGACTCTATGGGGTTCCATCGTGATATAACCGCCACTGGTGGCCACAGCAATTATGTTTACGTCAATTTCATGATCTCCTCATCATATCCGCGATCCCCTGTGGTATGGCTGAGCTTGTCTCTTATTAACGACACGCCACTGCCAAAAATCTCATGCATCAACTAGCTAATGTGGCTTGCCGTAGCATCGTAGGATTCGACACCCCCCTCTCATTGGTTCCTCCGCACCGACGCCGCGGTTCTAATTTTTCATCACACTTGTGGCCGCATGGTGCCTAGAGGAAGCCCGGGGCTTCATCACCTTTCATCCACTGTACTTGGGATTGTACAGAGCATACTTCTGAGACGTTAGCGTCACGCATTACCGTTTACTAGGTTCTTTGCCTGCGTGGCTAGCTACTAGAGGTCCGAAAGGGTGGTTGATGGCTCGATATCCCTGACGGAAACATTCTACTTCTTACATACATGGTGATATCAATGCTAAAAAAATTTATTCCTGGCGTTTTCAATGACGCCCAGGACTTCAAGCCTTATGATCGGCTCCTCGTGGAGCCCTCTCTGTCCCACCTGGCTGGCACACGGGAAGATTCATCACATTATTCCTCCCAATCCGCCGGGTAGGAATCGTCTCCGACCAGGGGGTCGGCCGTCACAACATGGCGCTGTGGCTAGCACGGAAAGGGGAACTACAGTTGAAGATGTGTGAAGCCGTTCAAATTGTCCGCAATTGGATTCTTCATCAAGTACGGAACCGCGTTGCCGAAAGAAGATGCAAGATACATACACTAGGTTCATTTGTGGTTCGGGAATAACGGCCAACTTACTATCTGCTCACAGCCAGCCCATCGTGAAGACCAATCCCTATGCGGCAAATGTCTTCGCCACATTGTTTCCGTGACATAATGTCCGTCCCATTAAGGATAACCGTGAGGAGGGCCTGCACGACGAGAGGCCTAGCCCTAATGACGCTGGAAGACGGAATGCCCTGCCACGATGCGTTATCCAGCGTCTCCAATCAGCGCTTATTCCCACGAAGGATCATATTAATCAGGTCATGTCCTCGCGATTGATATGATTGTAAGGTACCCCTAGATTAGGAAAGGAACTAACCCATGAAGAAGCGCGAGGTTTCGAAGCAATAATCTGCGAGCTGAGTGTATACGATAAAATACAGGTCGTCTTTCCTTCACGCGATTGCAATTCCCAACAATTCGACCCCCTGCGATGGACGCCTTTCGCAGCAGCCCTTTCAAGCATTAAGTCCCGAATTGTGTCAACCAAGGGAACAAGAGTGTGACGCAGTTTGGTGTAATCAATGGCAAGAGATGGTAAGGAGCTCTCCGCATAAGGTTGTGTGGGAGTACAGCGCCTCACGTCTTGCCCCCTCCAAGCGGGTAAATGAGCGCTGTGCGACGCCGGCAAAAACGCCCTCTATCTCATCGATGAGGGAGGCCAGCGACTACCCGGATCACGATTGTGATCGTCTATCGCTTACCCTCCAGATGAGCCCACCTTGTTCCATCCAGGTACGACTCCTCCTGACAAGGGCATTTGATATTATGACTGGACTGTAACATTTCACATACATATTGCAAACTTTCACACCTTGACATTCCATCGCATAGCAGCCTTATTAGACGTAAGCCGGTCATGAGACCGTCTCCGTATGCACGTTGCCGTCCTGCTTGTCTTGTCTGGCATACCGCTTTGCGTCCGAGATCGCAGACCCTGTGATACTACGCTGGTCTGACTTGGTGGTTTAGTCATCACTCTACTGCTACGACAACGGACCTACCTAAGACAGCCTGCCGGTGAGCCCTCCGGTTTCGATTGTCTGTCCTACCCAAGTTATTGATAGATATACACTCCCCCTTTCGATCTTGTCGTGAGATGGGCTTACTTTTCAGGGTCCTATATTTGCCGGTATTAATTGATCTGTTCGAGAATTACTATGAGAACGGGCTTCGAGATCGCGTGCCGGTCAAACGTTCCTCGTCTGTGAATCGGCAGATGCGGACGTGCCTTGATTTATCTCGAGTTACATCTGCTTATGACGTGCAGCTTGGTCTGTTCCTAACTTTTCTAATGGGTGGTAGTATGGTATCGGAGACTTTATACCTTGATGTCGCCTTCGATACGACTGCGTTACATTATCGCTCTGTTTTGGACACTCAGGGTCGTCGTGTTATTATCAGTAGGAGGGTAGCCCTCGCTTCAACTTACTCGATTGTTGTAAAGAGCGGCATCGCAGGAGCGCCGATGTCATCCAAATTTCTCAATTATAGCTGTCATCCCCCTTGGTGAGGTCCCATCCACGACTACGGAAAATTCGTAAGCGGAGCAAAGCACCGTCTCACGATAGTCCTCAAATGGATCATTGCGTTCTTAAGTCCTTCTAGGTGTTTCCCTCGTTTAATCGCAGAGAAAAAGGGCCGGAAATAAAGCGGCTGTAGTTAGTCGGACTAATTAAGCGGACTTCTCTCGGGGCTTCTATTAAGTGATGAATCGAGCATCTCCGTGGGTCGCAATAGCTAACAAAAGTGAGATAGAGTGGTCAGAAATTACAATTACTACCACCTGTCTCCAACTTGGCGCGAAAAAGGTGTTAGTTTTCGATTTACAATGAGAGGGTAGTGACCTGGTTGGGCTGCTTCGTATGGAGCAAGGCGACTTCGTCGTAACCTCGTCGGATCGTGAGCTTTTAGCCTCGCAGAATATGTCTAAACGAAGAGCCCTTCGAGTAGCGTTTGCTGCGCGTCACGCGACGACGATGGAACATACGAGGCGTTGTGTTCGGGTCGCCTCCTACCTATGGAGTGAATAGAAAAGGACTCGGCTTACCCTGGCCGAGCTCGCAATGTCAGAGAAAATATGAGATGGAACCCGAATCTCGTACTCTCTAACATAACACATTTTCCTATCATTCTCATTGACGTCTGGTTTCAAGAGAGCCGCTGGCCAGCATGTTCATTTCAAGGCAAGTTATCCTCAATCCAAAACTCTCGTTTTCGCTTTTTCCAAAATGAAAGGGCGCCGAATTTTCGTCAGTTCTCAGAAATATGACCCCCATTTTACGCCGAAACGATGCTCGTGTCTCTAATAACTGGGCGGTACCACGGGATTTTAGGGGTGGAATTGGGCTTATTGTTCATATGATGGGACGCCATCGTGACATCGCGCTTCGCAGGCATCGGGATTGTCCGTAAGACTTATCGCACTCGCTTACTCGTAGCATCGTGGTTCTTGTTGAGAGTTGAATTGTAAGTCCGCCGTAAATCATGAGCCGTGACCATAACTAGAATGCTTGGTAAGGAACCATGAGGGATTGAAGAAAAGAAACGATATTTCCGTAGACATATTGCATCCTATGTCTATTGTTGAGAGTAGGCTAATTATTCGATCTCTTCTGAAGCTGCCGTTCAGAATCCGATTTCCGACAAGCAGCCAGCGTTCAATTGAGAAATGAGAAAGGCAAGTATCAATATCATGAACCGTTTAATAGACATATCAAAGATTCTCATAGCGTTATCTCACCATTTCAATCTCTCAGTTATATGTTTCTTATAAAATGACATTTAAAAATAAATTGATGAATGAGTTTAGAATGAAATGGTACTTTGGTACCTTGGAGACGCGTCAATTTAGAGTGCTAGGGTACCCAAGCTAGCAACTTTATAGTGGATCGTATTAGGTAGCAAGGAAGGCGAGGGCGGTGAAATAACTTTTCCATTTTCCGCGGGGAAGCTCCAAAATTTCTAGGCCGAACAAATAATTTCGAGGCCAATAGAACAAGCTTCGCGACTACAACCTTTGAGCCAGGACCTTGTTGTTAAGCTACCTGTGCTAATCTCTATTCTCTTCTTGTTGACCTGGTTTGATTTAATAGCCCAAATACCAAAAAACGACGCCGGCGCACCTCCTTCAACATGCAGGCTCCCGTTGTGGTTATGAGTGAGCCCCTCCATGAGCTTAGAGATAGCTTCTACACCACAACTACAGAAGAAAACTAACATTATAATCTAGACACCCAAAGCGGTGATAGACAAACTGGACGAAAAGCCCAGTTGTCCAACATCGCCGCTGCGAAAACGTACGAAACCCCTTTTACCCCGCCATGCCCCTCCAAGCTAAACCCATACTCTTAGTGTCTCCGATATCATTCGATCATGTCTCGGTCCCAAGGCTATGTTGAAGATGTTGTTGGATCCTATGGGCGGTATCGTACTGACGAACGATGGCCACGCTATCCTACGAGAAATCGAGGTTTCACACCCTGCTGCCAAGAGTATGATTGAGCTTAGCAGGACACAAGATGAGGAAGTAGGTGACGGCACAACCACCGTTATCATCTTGGGTTAGTAACCAGGTTATCATACCCCCAACGACGGATTTGGCGCTGACTTCAGTTTAGCTGGCGAGATTCTAGCACACGCCCTACCCCAACTCGAACGAAACATACACCCGGTCGTAATTATTTCTGCCTTCAAGCACGCGCTTAAGGATGCCCTAGAGATTATCGACGAAATATCCCTACCGATAGATATCAACGACGATAAAGCCATGTTTGGCCTAATCTCCTCTTCCATCGGTACCAAGTTCGTTTCGAGGTGGACCGACCTGATGTGCAGTTTAGCTCTAAATGCTGTCCGAACAGTTACTTGGGAGGCTGGAAACGGCAAGACGGAAGTCGATATTAAGCGATATGCACGTGTAGAGAAAGTTCCCGGTGGCGAGATCGAAGACAGCAGAGTTCTAGATGGTGTTATGCTCAACAAAGATATTACCCACCCCAAAATGCGAAGGAAGATTGAGAATCCCCGAATCCTCCTTCTAGACTGCCCCTTAGAGTACAAGAAGGGCGAGTCTCAAACCAACATCGAAATTACAAAGGAAGAAGACTGGAACCGTATTCTACAGATCGAGGAAGAGCAAGTCAAGGCTATGTGCGAATCGATCCTAGCGTTCAAGCCCGACCTAGTCATTACGGAGAAGGGTGTTTCTGACCTCGCGCAACACTACTTCATGAAGGCAAACGTTACTGCGCTACGAAGAGTCCGAAAGACGGACAACAACCGAATTGCTCGAGCGACAGGTGCTACCATTGTAAACAGAGTGGATGATCTTCAAGAGTCGGATATCGGAACGAAGTGTGGCCTATTCGAAATCGAGAAGATTGGTGACGAGTACTTCACTTTCCTCACCAAGTGCAAAACACCTAAGGCTTGCACGATCCTTCTCCGAGGACCCTCCAAGGATATTCTGAACGAGATTGAGCGAAACCTCCAAGATGCTATGGGTGTAGCCCGGAACGTTATGTTCCATCCTAGACTATCGCCTGGTGGTGGAGCTACAGAGATGGCAGTCTCAGTACGGTTGAATCAATTGGCAAGAAATATTGAAGGCGTACAACAATGGCCTTACAAAGCGGTTGCCGATGCCTTAGAAGTTATCCCCCGAACTCTAGTCCAGAATGCCGGTGCTAGCCCGGTAAGAGTCCTCACCGAGCTTCGTGCTAAGCAATCAGAGGGCAAGAGCTCGTGGGGTATCAACGGAGATACCGGCACAATCGTCGATATGCAGGAGTATGCCATTTGGGAGCCAGAAGCGATCAAACTACAGAGTATCAAGACCGCTATTGAGGTAAGCTTTCTAAAACCATATCCTTTAGCAGTATACTAATTATTTTACAGGCCGCTTGTCTTTTGCTAAGAGTTGACGATATCTGCAGCGCCAAGAAGGCGCAACAAGTTGGAGCTCCGGGCGTAGGTGGTGGGGATGACTAAGGAGTAAAAAAGGAAAATAATTGATGAAATCTTCGAGCAAGCCTATTAGACATGGAAAACGAGAGGACATACCCCTGTACCAACGACTGGTCTAAAAGTTACAAGATAGATGAACTAGATGGCTTCGCTACCATCAATGACTCGCTTGTGACTTTGTTATGCCCTACCTGTCCACATACCTAGGTAGTAACAATATCGATCTAATTTGGGGCCGCGAATAATGCTGATTTTGTCTCGCAAGCAAATCTGCTAAACAAGGTGTATTACGAATTAAGACTAACCACCTAGGTGTGCTGCCTTCTAAGACTTATCGAACTCTTAATTGTACGATTTTGAGAGAAGTTTGAAGTGTCGCCTATTGAAGTAGCTTAAATTGTGATGAAAGCTTACCTGGCACCAGATTGTGTTAGCATCTTCATAATTAATAGTCAAGGTGTCATTCCAGGTCACTCTAACTCATGCAACGGTGGTGAATGTAACGAGTTCATTTGGTTCTTCACCCGAAGGTTAATTCAAAGTCAGCAGTCGCTCTGACTCTGTATCTTTGCTTCTCTAGTTGTTTGCTAAGCTGTGTGTAACCTTCAAACTCACATCTATGTACTATAAGGCCTCGTCAAGAGGGTGTTTGCATTTGATATAGAAGATTCTTTCAGATAGTAGCTAAAACAAAATTACCTATTTTAATCTCTTAGTATATATAGGTAATAACATCATATTACTTCGTCTATGTAATATTTTTCTAGATAACCTGAAGCAATCTCCGTGACAGCACAGGGGTCAGTTGGGATTAGGAGTCATTGAAAGGAGAATCAGACTTAAAATATTATCTACAGAGATTACCCCAGCGAGTGATAAACACCTACACTATGATGTTCAGGTAATTCGTATGAGATCACTGGTGGAGAGAATAAAAAAGGCTTGGTTAAATGGCAATGTTCGTTTTTTTAGAGGTTACGATAGAAAAGATATGAATCCTCGGGTGGATACGCATTGTGTTTGGTCCGGCTTAGGGAAGCTGCTACTCTTATGTGCAGGTGGTGAGTGGTTTCCTTTTTTGAGTTGATAGTGACGAGGAAGCGACTACCAGTATTATGCCACTCATTTACGACAAGAAATTGAGAAAAAACAGAAGTTACTCCTTCCTCTGTCCTAATCACTTGTCCTAATCATTAGCACTTAAGATCCTTCTTGCGCTTTCAATCTTTCCAGCCTTCCCATCTTTTTTACATCAACACGCAGTCTTGACTTTTTGCATTCGCAACACCAGCAATTTCGATTCCGAAAGCTTCGCGTACAGCACCGTCCTACTAGTTCTTGATTCAAGTTCTACTACTTACTGCTTCTTTACTTTACGTACTTTGAGTACTTTGATTTACATTGACGTCTTTGCGACATCAATCGCTTCATCTACTTGATCATTTCCCCTACTACTTCCACCTCTTCCACCTCTCTTACTTCTACCCTTACTACCTGTTCTCACTCCTCCTCTTATTTACCTTTCTACCCACCCTCTTACCTTACGAGGCATCACTTGTTACAATGCCTGTCCTTACTAAAAAGCGAAAGGCCGAGCTCGAGGCAGCTGGAGAGGGTTCCCAGGCTCAGGCGCAGCTCCAAGGCTCACTGGAGACCGACAAGACCAGAAAGCTCGCCGCTAAGGAGCACCCCTCGAAGCGCCAGAAGCGTGCCGATCCGTATAAGATAATTGACCCTTTTCGTCCTTTCGTAAGTAATACCATGGGTTTCATCTCCTAACTCCTCATTCCTTTTTTTTTTTTTTTTTTATAAAAAAGAAAAAAGTTCTTCTCTCTTCCTATCTCCCTCGTCCTCTTCAGCGGACCTCGGTGTTTAGGATGTCAAAAATTTGCCTAAAGCCACGAAAGCTCTTTGAACAGGGGATTAACATCGATGTACTGACTTTGCTGGATAGTCTCCCCCTCCCAAGACTGTGATGCGCCGTAAAGGCCGAGCGCACCAACCTAACGTCCCGAAGAAAACTATCGTCAAGCCGCCGAACCCCCCGCCGTTTGTCTTCTGTACCGTGCCCACCATCAACTCAGTGGGCAAGCTTTCCTCGAAAGGGGGAAGCAGTAAGGATGTCGGTACTATCATGGCGGCTAAGTCGTTAATCGATCATGCAGAGTAAGTTGACATTTGAATTCGTCTTCTGCTCGTTTCTTCAGTTGTGCTGCTGAGGTCCTCCGGGACCCTGTTTTTGAAGAACCTATTGATGAACCCCAAGAGGAGGAGGAGGACGGGTTCGAGGAGGTTCGAGAAGGGCAGGAGTAACAATCTAAGATCGCAGAAGCTCAAGACTGGCATATCTTGGTCAGACCAATCGCCCCACCACTCCCGGGGCGTTTCTTCCACCCTAACGGCCAACTCCACACCATATACAAGTATCTAACCGCACAGATCCCCCTTCCTAGAAAGTGGGTCGAATGGGCCGTCGAAAACGGAGTACACGAAGTTCCTGGGCGTGGAGATATCCGCGACCCCGGTACGTACGTCGCGGACGATACGTACAATTATGACCTGCTATACGAGACAATCCACCGAGGATTCTTCCGGACTGGTCGGCTGGAGGTAGATATCTTCCCCGAGCACTGGCCGATGGTCCGAGGCCATAGAGATGGAATTTTGGCAGACTTAGACCTACGCCCTCTCTCGCCCCCTGTGGAGCAAAAGGTTAAGGGCAAGGGCAAAGAGCCGGTAAGATCTCGGTTGTCGCCCGAGTCCACGCCCGCGCCCACAGGGGATCACTCACCATCGGTATCGCCATCAGCACCAGGACCCAACCGGGTCAACCAGGAGCTCTCAACCATAAAGGAGGAATCAGAGAGCCCTGTGCCCATTAGCGCGTCTATACCTCGAAGAAGAGATCCGACCGCCGTCCCAGTTGAACATTCCAGTCCTGTTACAAACACCATGGGGACGTTCGGACTCCCGGACGATTTTTACGATACCACCGATGGAGACTCAACGATCCTGGTGGAAGACTAAATGGACAAGGAGACGTCCATGGGTTACCGGAAGCGGCCCAATCGGTAGGCCGCCCTATTTCATCAACGCGAAGCATCCAGAATACTCGCTCCCCATAGCCGAGATGGAAAACTTAGGACTGGGGAGCCTAGGAAACTGGATATCCATTTATAAAATAAAAAAAAACCCTCACTTTAGACGACTCGAGTCGTAATGTTATATCGACACATTTAAACCCCCCAACAGCGAGCGATACAATTATCCCTATTCGAGAGACATAATCATTCAACTCACAGTATTTACCACATCGAGAGACTATATCTCGAACGAAAGTCGAAGATATAATTTGCGACAAAAATAATGATAATATGACAGTAGTCATAATTTAACATTAAAACCGGGAGGAACCGTAGTCACCCCACCGGGCCTGAACAACACCCAGCACCTAGATAACAGTTTAGGAGACCAAGCTATCCGAGAACTTGTCTCGGAGGGCAATAAATAAAAATAGCAGGCCGCTGCTTAATGGCCAACAGCAGCGGCCAAGGTGAAGGCCTGTCGGCCTCAAGAACGACCTTGCAAAAAGCAAGACGATTCAAAATAACGATGCCGCATCATGAGGCATGAGAAATGAGACATGAGAAAACAATTGATAGAATGGATATAATGAATACAACGGAAAATGGGATGAATTATCACGAAATTATGGCGTTTGGGGTGCTGTTGGGATATATTGGAACTTGGGGTATTGGATATATAAAAAGAAGGGGTGTTCTTTTTCATTGTGTTAAAATAATAACACAGAACAGCCTTGATGTAGGAGTTGAAGTGATAGAATAGAAAAGATGTCAATTGCAAGATAACTTACAAACACACAAACATCACCCAGCTATAATATTCAGGATGTTCGGAACACTGTAAAACGGGTTAAATGACGATATGCTTTGCAAATTTTGATATAAATGCTAAACTATTTGGCAATACGTTATTTTCCGAACCTCATAATCATCCTAGTCATAATGCGCGCCAATCATAAAGGGTATCTCCAATATGTAGAAGAAATGGGTGACAGACATACTAAGAAACCGATCCCCCCAGACCCCCAATATCTATTTTCCCAATTTAGTAGACGCTTCCTCGGATGCTTTTATCCTCCTTCTCCGCCTTGTCTAAGTCCTCGGCTTCGTCGCCTCCATCGGACCCCTGATCCGAGTTGTTAGGCGCATCACCAAGCCTATTAGCGTGCGCATGACGCACTGCCGAGGGCTCTCGGCTATTAAGTGAGGTTCCGTTCCTCTCGCCGCTTTTGACACGGGCGGCTTTCGCGGCGAGCCGCTCGCGAGCGTCGTTCTCGGAGAACTCTTCTTCGCTCGCGTGACCTGAGTAGGTACCGCCGAAGTCACGTCCGGTGCGTAGGAAGTTCGATTTAAGCGGCGTCGAGACGCTGCGAAGACGGTCTTCGATTGTTATGAATGAGGGCGTACCGTCGGGCGACGACACGATGTCCTCTTGAGCACGTGTCACGTCGATCTGCGGAGGAGCTCGGCCGCGAGGGTCATCGGAGTCGTCGTCCGAGTTGTTAGGCCCCTGTACACGTTTGGCTGGAGTTCGGCGGCTAGCAATCGTGCCGTTAGTCTCCGGGGGCGTGTGCGTGTGGCCGTTTGCGGCACAATTCTCATCATGCTGCCGCAATTCAGCTAGGTCACGGCGGATCTTGAAGTTCTTGCCGTGGTTGCAACCCTGTGGGCAACCACCCCATTTCCGTGGCGGGGCGGGGGTCGTAGCTTGCTTTTCGGCCTTGCTTGGCTCCTTCTCCTTTCCAGTATCAGTGAGCTCCTTGTCCTCCTTGGCTTTGATAGCGGCTCGTTCTCGGCGTAGTTCAGACCATGTACGAAGATTATTCTCGAGGTCGTATTTGCCGCTGTCCTTTTGCTTCTTCATGATAAGGAACTCGCAGTGGTTGACGTTGCGGAGGTCCTCGAAGTACTCGACGGAGAAGTGGTACCACTTCATTAGGAAGACTCGAGACATGAGACCGTGGGTGACTGATTAGATGTTAGCAGCTAGGTTACTTAGGTGTAATAGGGGAAAGTCTGGGGTCTGGTTACATACCCAATACGCAAACGCTGGCGAAGTCATCATCTCCGAACTGACGCCACAGGCTCTCGTTGAAGCCCGAGACACGGTCATATGCATCAGCAGCACTTTCTCCGTTTGGGATACGGTAGAAGAAGTGGCCGTAGTCAGCACGCTCTTGCCACATGCGTTCCATCTCAGCACTGCAAGGCTGGAAGTTTCCAAAGTCTTGCTCACGCAACCGTGGCTCCTCGTAGACCTTCATGTTAATTTTCTTAAAAGGGGACGGGTCAGGGTCGTCAGATGTCAAGGTCTCAAGGATGCCTTCGGTCGTCTCTCGCGTTCGTCGGTAGGGCGAGGTGTAGAACTGGAGGGTGTCGTCTGGCCTCAGCAAACCCCGTAGCTTTTGGCCGGCTTCACGAGCTTGCTGCCAGCCTTCGGGTGTTAACTTGACTCGGTGGTCGGGGATGGTCTGGTGAATCTCGCGGTTCTCTATGGTTATAGCGGTCAGTTCCTGCGTTTGTGCTTTTCATGGACGATGATAGCGTACTATTGCCCTCAGACTGGGCATGTCTGATTAGTATAATAAGCCTTGGACGACCCATGGTTAGAATGAGTTGTGTCCTGGAGCTCTTTTCTTAAGATGCTTTGGCGGTGGCGATGTTTTTAAAACGGTGGGGTTTCTTCGATTTCGTCGGGTTGGGTATTAAACAAGGTTAAGTTTAAAGACGCCGAAGGTTTTCGTTCGAGGAAGGAAAGAAGGAATATATATAATTATTAAGGATATCGCAGTAAGTCACTCGATATAGAACAACAGGCAGGTACAGGTTAGGTAATATGGGACTTTTCGTCAGGTGCGTTGTGGTTTTTGGAGAAACGAGTGATTTCAAATCATTAAATGAACAAAAAGACTTGGAGACTCGTATTTTAATTTCTCTCTCTTTACGGCATCTATCGGGCTGAGCAATTATATGTACAAGTGGCAGTGAGTGATGTGTATAAAAAGTGATGATAGGCTGTTATAAGTCAGGTTCAGACATACGTCAAAGGAGTAGCATTCAAGATGTATGTATAGTGTATCTTGATTTTACCGGATTAAAAATGTTTGGAGATGGAGGGTAGCTTAATTGGCATAGGTAAGATCAAATGCACCTTGCATCTTGCTTTTTCTTTGGCGCTGCACTTATGTTGGGCTTGTTTCAAACCCCCCCATTGTCCCCTCCAACCAAACAGCATGTGCAGCGCCAAGTGGTCGGGGGTCTCCCTGCTAGCCATGCACAAAGAAGCCTAAAAGACTCAAAAGACTCAAATACAAAACGTTGATTGGCTCGAAACTTTGTCCCCCTTCTGGCCGACCCTTGGACCCGATTTCGGCTCCAATATTGAGTTAGGCTTGGCTCCGAACTTTAGGTACGGTCCTGCGGTCCTGCAGTAGCCACCCGAGGGGTGACTCCTTACATAAGATACATCCCGTCAGGTAACACAAATGTAGCGTGGTCATCCCGACCCTTCGACCCACTCTTTTTCTTCGTCAAGGTACAAGCCTCATTATCGTCATCAATCAATCAATTTTAAGTGTCCAAAAACTTACAATCCGGCATCAAAAACAGCGAATAAATCATCGCAAACCCGTCTACAGCGATCTATAACTACTAAAAGATCAGCGCATCTGTTCGTCCCACTTCGACCCATCGCGTGTTTTTCTCCACGCACTAAAGATCCCCCTATTCGATCTACCGTCTCTCACCATAGCCAAAAAAGCGTTCGCATCACGCCATCAACATACGACAGCGCGCCTCGAATCGCCAGAGCCTCCTCCCTTACTCCAACGTCAGAACCAGCGATAGCTTCCAAAAGGTTCATTATACGATAAGAAAAATTAGGGGAAGGAGGGGGTTGGTGTGCCGATTTCGATAGCCAGAAGTAACTGCCCATCTAGGCAGCATCAGCTAGCCGGCAGACATCTCGGCACGTTCCGAACGAAGAATGACCCGCGCAAGTCCAACCTAGATACCGCTGCGAAAGGCCAGTAACAAAGATGTCAGGCGAAGGACCAGAAAGCATCCCCACATCCGCAGACCCGCGCTCCAAACGCCCGGTCAAAAAGCGCGCCTTAACCCCCCTCTCCACCCAAGCACGCGAAGTCGAAGCCCTCTTCTCCAAGCCCGAGCAAGAAGTCCGGATCCCCGACCCATCCGCCACCCGTAAACGCGGCGCGCTCCCACCGCCTCCAGAAATTGTGACTAATGTTCAAGGATCCAGCGCGGGAGCGGGCTCGGGTGAGTTCCACGTATATAAGGCGAGTCGGCGGCGAGAATACGAGCGACTGCGGTTAATGGATCAGGAGGTTGAGTCCGAGCGCGCGGCGAGTGAGTTCGAGGCTAAGAAAAAGGAGACGGAGACGCGGGATGAGGAGAAGACGAGGAAGAATAGAGAGAAGAGGGAGAAAGCTAAGGCGAGAAAGGCGAAGGGGAAGAAGAATGGTGGTGGAAGGGGAGGTAATAACAAAAGCAATGGTGCCGATGCAGAAGGTACACCTGATGGCGATAAGTCTACCACTGCGCCCGCGAAGGGCGTTAAGGCTAGGGTCGACGTGAAGAAAGACGAGGCAGAAAGTAAGGAGAAGACGGCTGATGGAGAACCCGCGCAAACGGATGCGCCGGCGGAAGAAGTAAAGGGTATCGTCATCGAAGAGGACTAATAGGATGGAATTTTAATACAGAGGTACCCATAATCCCCGTGATCATTAATCTCGTTAGGTATAGGCCGGAATAGGATGGGTGTTCGGGATTGAGATACATATATGCCTATTTGATGGCTTGACGCATCGTGGCAACTAGGGATGGCTTGCTAATACTACATCTACTATTGTACCTTGATACTGTACCATCACCTGTAAATTCATCAAAAGAGGCAGAAATTTCTTGTCGAAGTATCATAAATGGTATCTAATTTAATTATGCCCACATTGAAACAAAGTGATATCTTTCATCAGGCTTACCTTACCAAGACGAACAAAAAAACAAACATGCAAAACCGTGACTCCTTTGCCGGACCACGACACTTCATCGAGGGGTATACACACGAGCGACGAGGAGTGAAAAATAACACCCTCGTCAACTGTTATCATAATCCCTCGATGCCATCTCTAAGAGCTACCCAAGATCGCTTTTCTTCCGACTTTCTCTATCGAACAATAACCAATTGTTAAGCCATGAAGTCATGATGCCACCACGAGGGATGATGATGATGATGATAATGATGATGTGGGCCGTCGAATTTTGACGGCCGGCCTGCCTGCATTTGTACAAATTCCTCCTAGTAGAGCGTCGCAGATCCCTTAAACCGTATGTGAACCCTTGAGTCTTGACCTTTGCCCTACCTGTCTTAATGGTACATGTGCCATTTCAGCAGAAAATACAAATGTTATTTTTGAATCCTCCGCCTCGGCCGCCCCGACGATGCATTCGTGGTATACAACAACACTTTCCTTTTCACTTTTTATAAAAAATAAACCTCTATCTCCTGGAAACGCCGTGCAGATGCATTGATCATATCTTAGAGAGCAGCAACTGCTACTAACCGGTCGTTATCGGCTGCGAATCAGAAGAACTTGGACATCGCCGTGCTTAGGTCGACAAAGTCAACTGGCTTCGTAACGTAATCGCTAAAACCCGCCGCTGCGCATTTTTCTTGGACGTCCGACATAACGTTCGCCGATAGGGCGATGATAGGCATCGGGCGAAGATTGGCATGCGACTCCCATTGTCGAATTTCCCGACAAGCTTGATAACCATCCTTTCGAGGCATATGAAGGTCGCACTGTTATTCGTATATTAGCTTACCAATCTTATCAGCAGCATCCTAAGAACGACTTACCAATATTAATGAGTAGTAATTTGGTGGTTGTGCGAACACTTTCTCTGTGCATTCGACGCCATCGGCGGCGATCTCCGCCTCAATCCCAACTTTCATGAGATACCTAACCAAAACTTTCTGGTTGACGGGGTTGTCCTCAACGAGAAGTACTTTGTATCCCTTATTTCCAATACGCTTTTCCACATCCAAATAATTTTGCTTCTGACTTTCGACCATTTGAGCGGCGCTGGAGCGATTCAAATCTACACTGAGATCACGTTCCTTAGCCGGATCGAATATGACCGCGAACCTAGACGGTTTAACAGGTTTGTATACAAAAATCATCCTCTTTTCTGCTAGAAGTTGTTGGTGCTCGGCATCCGACGCTAGTTTGAGAACCGCTTGCCTTTGAACGGAGTCCGTTAAGACAAGTACCGAGGTCTTACCACCGGAGCTGGCGATTATCTTGTCGATAACTCCTATGATCTCTTCGGCCGATGGAAGATTAAGAACGATATGGGTGAAAGTGACGGATTCATGGCCTCCAATCACTTCTGCAGCTTCTGATACACTTGCCATTGCCGTTATCTGGTGTGGGACATCTTTCGGTAGCGTCATTTCAATATGATTTGTTGTCGCTTCTCTGCTGTATTTCTGGGGGCAGATGATGAGGATCGAATACATCGGTGGTCGGAACTGTGCTAACTCCGTGGGGAATTTAGTACCGTCTGGAGTAGGTACCATATGTGGCGACATCTTCCCAGAAGGCATTTCGAGTTTCATTCGAGATAGGTCTTGTCCACTAGCCTTTGCGGCTTCGCTAAAATGTGTGAGGCCAACATTAACCGAGGAAACTGAAGATCGGGTAGTAGTCAGACTTCGAAGAGAGCGAATTGAAGGATCCGAGCTGCCGGAGGATTCTGGCGGTGGTGAAGTAATATCCGCCTCAGAACTGGGACTAACGGTCGGGGCTGGCTCCATTGCCTTTTGCAATAAAAGGGGTTTGATAACCTGTGCTGATTTCTCTTCTGCTGGAGACCGTCTGGATGCAGTCATCGGTGGGGTATTCATTATGCTGGGATGATCGTTGGGACTTGGTAGGCCAAACCTAGCCGTAAACGTGAACGTGGAACCTTTTCCAGGTACAGCACTTCCGTCCATTTTTCCACCGTGAAGCTCCACAAGTTGTCTTGAAATCACAAGGCCCAGGCCGCTACCACCATGTTGTCGAGTACTACTCCCGTCGATCTGACTAAAGGGTTTGAAGATGAGCTCGGCTTCTTCTTTGCTGAAACCTCGCCCAGTGTCAATAGTTGAGAACTCAAGCATAATCTGATGTTCACCGAGTTCGGCTGCGTTGGCCGAATAGACTCTACATCGGCTAAAGACTTCTCCCACTGTGGTAAACTTAATAGCATTACCAATGACATTAAGAAGAACTTGCCGTATGCGAACCTTGTCACCCTTAACCCATGAAGGAACATTCTCTTCCACGATATAGTTAAGCTCGAGTCGCTTAGCAACCGCCATCGTCGAAACTAGTTCGTTAACGTCCTCGATAAGAGATCTAGTATGAAACCATTCGAAATTCAACTTCATCATACCAGCATCGACTTTGGACAAATCCAATATGTCGTTGATGATCATAAGGAGACTGTTGGCGCTAGTCTGTATGGTGTTCGTGTAATCCCTCTGTTCTTCGTTGAGTGTCGTATCTTGTAAGAAGCTTACCATACCAGAAATTCCAATCAGCGGTGTTCGGATTTCATGAGACATATTGCTCAAAAATCTACCCTTGGACTCCATAGCTTCTTTCAACTTCTCCTCCAGCAGTTTATGGTCATTTATGTCAGTTGCCGAACCGAAATAGGAACTCGCGCTACTACCGAAACCAACATCGCCGATCTCGACGCACCTCACTAAATGCCATCGATATTCGCCAGATTTTGATCGTAATCGCACCTCGGTGGTGTACGAAAGGCGGCCATTACTGTCTGTTGAAACCTTAAGGATGCCTCTCCGGAAGAGGTCATTTAAATCTGCGGTGACGAAATCACGGGGCGAGCTGTGATTCTGAGGCATGTTCCCTGGTTGCCCACTAATTAGATCTGGAGGTAGCAATGTGGTGCCCGTCGACGAACGGTGCCGAGATATATCGTCCACGTGCTCCCCACTCGGAGATGGTGCTGTTGAGCGCTCTAACGGTAATCGACATTTCGCTAAGTCGTCTGGGTGTACGTAGTCTATAAACCCTAGGCCCAATGCGCCTTCATCGCTCTGCCCGGTATAAGAGAGCCATTGTTCGTTTGCGAATGTGACTCCATCATCTTCTGTAGCGGTGAATATTATCTGGGGTATCAAGTTTGCTAACAGGCGATGTTTTGCCTCTGATACTTCGATCTCCTCTTGGCGGAGCGCCATTAATTCGGCTACCTTTTGATCATGGATATCCATATAGGAGCCGATAAACTGTACTATTACTCCACGTTTATCTCTCGAGGCTACCGCACGAGCCTGGTGCCATCGGTATGCACCATCGAAGCGACGAAGGCGTACTGATTGGGCGAATTGATCACCGGACCGAAGAGAATGCGTCCAGGCACGCATATACTCGTCACGATCTTCAGGATGCAGACTTCCCCAAGGATCTGCGACCAGGTCTGCAAGAGTCTGACCCCTGTAAGTTAGATAACGACTGTTAACCCAGACGATCTCCCCATGTACAGGCAGTGCAACGAAAACATGGACAGGTAAAAGGTCGAGCATAAGCCCCTTTAGGCGATCCGATGGAGGGAGCATGGTAACGTGTGGCGTAGATGAAGATCCAGGTCTGGCCGGTGTTGTAGGTTGCGACGTAGGTTTCGAGAGTAGGGAAGTGCTGGAGGGTAGGGATTGGAAGGTCGTGGAGAAATCGCCACCATACGAATGTAACATGGTGTGTTTATGGCTGTTAGACGATATACTCTGGCCAGAAAGCCGCTTCCGACCGTCATCAGCTTCGTGACGAGATGGCGGAATTTCCAATCCGGTGTTCATCTCGGAAGAATCCTTTGACGTCGGCCGTTGCTTCAATGCCTGATTGATTATTATTTCATCGAAAATACCGGAATTGCGAGAGGGAAGCTCGGAATTTTCGACGTCTTTTACAGCTGCGCTCAAATCTTGCTGATGGTGCAGAAGACTTCTCACCCGTCTTGGCTGCTTTTCGATAGTCAAACCGCCTTCCTTATTAATGGTTCTAGAAGCACGTTGAGCTAACGTCCTTTGAGCTGATGCCTCTACAGAAAGGCCTTCACTTCGAGGTACGGAACCAAAATAGCTATCACCACCTGGCTGACTAGGACTAGTACCCGCAGTTCGCCTCTCCACGACAAGTCCAAAAGAGCTAGGATCCCAAAACGGCGTTCCACTGGGTGAAGCATTAATGCTCCGGGATGGACCTGAATATTCGCTAGGGCTGGTGAGACTTCCGGTAACCGAGCGTTGGGAAACATCCTCAGCCGGCGGAGAATTAAGATGAGCGAAAATGGCAGGGTCAGCGACTGGTCGTCCATCGAGTCCAATAGCACCGAATCCACTGGTAGACGGCCTCTTCCGATGAAGACCCATTACTTCTGTTTCAAGAGTTGAATAGTGTCGACAAAGGGAGAAAGTCGCTGCTAAATGGGGTGCCAGGTGTTCGAGTGAGTGGCGTAGGTTGGAGGGATACGGTATGATAGGGGTTAAGATCGACAAGATTGCAATAGGCAGATGTTTGTTCTTCTTGGCTAATTCCTCGGTAGATAGGCGCTCATGTAACATAGCAGAACCTACACTCGGCTCCGGATGGTTGCGCTGAGAAACTTTCTGTTCTAATGCAGAGGGATCCAGTTTGAACTTTTGAGGTGGCTTCGAAAGAAGGACATGGTTCAGAGGCACATGGAGCACGGTCCAGGAGTTGTCAACTCCAATAGTCTCCGGGGGTTGCGTGGATGCATAATCTTGCGGACTTGGTCCTGGATTGAAGGATTCTTCGTCAACTACGGCGTCGGTGAAAAAGGGATTCTCTGAAGGGTCGGCTCGGACGGCGGGCGAAGGTGCCGGTGATTGGGACCATGGTGACGGGGGTGCCTGTTCGTACTCTTCGTATTTCGGGGTGGGAGGTCGAGGTGGAATATCATCTATCGTTGAGAATAAACTAGGGATCTTTTTATCTGCTGATAACGACTTTCGATTTCGGCTTAAGGATCGGGGTGCGCTCGCATTTGCTAACAATGAGGAGAGTTTCGTTTGTGATTCGGTTCTAATAGGCTTTTTTGATATTTTCTTCGGGTCTTCCGCTGGCGTAACTTTAGCGCTCTTCGGTTGTCGTTTTTCTTCGGAGTTCGGGTCGAGGTAGGGATACGTCCGTGTTAAAGCAATCACTTTGCCTCGCTCAACAACGCGGGTTATACCGTTGTGGTCGATGAGAGGGTCTGCTTCAAAGTCAAGTCCTTGCAATACCGGAAGAAGACGTCCTCTAACTTCACTCTTCGGCTCGAGCCTTGCTTCCCACGTTGGAACTTGCTGTTGGTCCTCAATAGCATCATGTTCCTCCAACGCCTGTCTATTTAATGCCGAATGAGGTTCATGCCTGTCGGTACCTGGATAATAACTTTTACTCCGTTGAAGTAAAGTAGGCCGGTGAGAGCTAGGGCCAGCGGCTTGATCCACATCTCCCTCTCCAGCACCCCTTTTATCTTCATAAGCGGTAAAGGAATGACGGTTTCGGATAATTGGTCGCACGGGCTTATCAACCTTTTGGAGTCCCTCCGGAGTCACTACAAACTCAGACTGATCACCTATGCTATTCGCAACAAGACTGGCTCCCCGGGCTATATATCCTACGCTTAAGTCATCTTCCTCTAGGGCGTTGTATGTGGCCTTTTGCCCCCAAGGTACATTTTCAACGTCTGTTGGGTCAGCTGGTACTGAGAGAGTTACCCTCTCTGCTTTATAGTATCCAGTCATAATCTGGACGACACTGCTCCACCATGCATCTAAGCCAGGCTCGGCAGAAAGCATCAAGGTTAGGTCATAAAGATTTGGTGTGGGGAAGTCGAGGTTCGGTTTGGTGGTTACTCCAGGAGGTAGGAAAGTCATGGCCGACGCCGGCGACGATGGGTCAGATCTCAACTGATCATGCAACACAAAACCACTAAATTGGGAACCGGTCGCGTTAACGGATCCGCCCTGGGTGGGCTGCTGGCCAAGAGCATTTTGCAGATACGTCGAGGTGAAACTGGGGGTACCCATACGTGGGAAGGGGTATGATGGTGTGCGGGCCGTGAAGTTTGGGGTCATACCGCCACGAACCGTCTTAGTTGATTCGGTCGAGGCAGTCGGTATGTCAGAATCGGGTGTTGGTGAGGGTGTCGCGCTAGACTCTTCCTTAATAGGTGATATGCGCGTCTTCTCAGACGCATTTCCAGAAGGCGACGGGGGACCTCGAACCGCTTGTTCTCGACGTTCCATTTCCTTCGCAAGTCGTACCCGGTATTCAGTAATAGAGCGTTTATTTTCTATGACTTCGGGTGAAGTCTCTGCGATGCTGACCTCCCTGCCTTTTCTCCTTGCGCCCGGGCCAACTCCTGTTGTTCCTCTTGGTAATTCATCCTTTTCGGGTTGAACATCTCTGACGACGGACGGAAATTTCTCCACACCGACCGCGTCCAAACCGTTGCCTCGCAAGTTCACGTGGTCTACGCTCGAGGAGGCAAGTGTCAGCCAAGGTGCATCGGGGTTCGTCGGCCCTACCGCGTTGGTTGGCAAGTTTCGCATGGAATCGGCGAGGTCGCTAGAGAAACTAGTCCCGGAAGGACTACTCTGTTTCTCGGTATTCAATGATTGTAAATTATTTGGGTCATAGCTGGGAGATGGGGAGGGCGGTAGTATGATAGAGCTACGTGGTTCGTCCGGGCCTGAGTAGTGATGATGTGATGGCATTCCTCGTTCACGGCGCCCCCATGCGGCAGTGTCGGGGACGGATCTCACTACGTTCTCGTGATCTCGGCATTCGCATTTGATAAAAACCAAAAGTACAGGTGCTCTCGGTCGCTAGAGTGCTAGAGTAAGGGATTAGACAGCATACGACCGAGAACAGGTGGTTTGAATTGCCGTATGTTGGTTGGGTGACAGCGAACTGCAGTGACAGTAAGGAATAAGGATGTAATTCTTTTTCGGCTAGGACAGTTCAAAACCGGTAAGTGGCATCGCCTTGTGTCGATTGCAAGGCTCAATTGCTAGTCAGCGGTCGGTTGGGTCACTACCTACGTCAGACAGTGCTCCTGATTATTATTGGTACGGTCTTATTTGCGACTCGGGTGCATCCGTAGCTCATAAGCACGATCCCTCAAAAGTATTGGGTATTGTACGTGCGTAAGCAGCGGGAATGACGACTTTGAGGGCGGGTCTCTTTTTTTTTTTTTTTCAACTGTCTTGTTTAATATTATTTTATTTTATTTTTTTCGGTTTTCAGCTGGAAACGAATGCTGGAAGAAGAGAAAAAAAAATTATTGGTAGAAAAATAAAAATGAGAGTAATAGTAATAATAATAATAATAATAATCGTATACACCGTTACTATTACTCGACTGGCTAAACTAACAGACAGAAACGTCAGACGGAAGGGGGAAAGGGATGGTTGGCATAAAACTCATAAAAGAAAAGTTGCATCGGTACATACGCGCAGCGGGTACGCTAAAAAATTAAAAGGCAGGCGGGACGAGATTTGGCTGGTAGGGAACCTTGGAAGGTTTTTTAGTTAGGGAAGCAGGGAAGTAGTAGCCCTGGGAGGGGGGAGTAGCAGGAGTAGTAGCAGGCGGGCAGGAAGTAGTAGGGAAGTAATGGAGGGAAACATGGCAGCATTGGCAGGTGGGTGGGTGTCTTGTCCACGTTGATAATTGCAGAGATGCATCTCTTGGACCCTCTTCGATCCAATCAACGATCCAATCAAGGTACAAGTTACTCTTTAGAAGGTTACGGCGCAATGGTAATCTGCGTTTTTTTTCCCCGCCCAACCGAGCAAAGCCAGTTCTTCCAACTCTTGCATACCTTGATCTTCAATTCTTTCATTTACAGCCCACAGCCCCGAACCCTTGAAAACCGCTCGATTCTATTTAACCACTTGACAATGACACCCACTCCTACCTCTCAGCTGAGCAATAATCTATCTAGCGGTTTCCCGCTCTCTCTCATATGATTTCGCCTTGTCATGAAATTTGAGCGACCTGCCAAGTTACGGTCGCCTAAAAAGAGTCCGAATAGAGAGAGCCCTGGAGAGGTGGCGGTATTAAGACTCACTCACACATAACGGACCCTTACCTCTCTCTATAGGCTACCTACCTAGGTACCTATTTATAAACCCCCATCCTCCGGAGAAGGACTTAAACCTACCTCCTACCTAGTATGGTAGTTAGATATGACCTATATATTTTAGTATGTAAAATCCCGTGGTACCTAGGTATCTAGGTAATATCTATTTCATCACGGAAATACTGACGATATGCCGTGTAGAAGAGACGCAAGATTGTGTCATCAAAAATCCCAATAATCCGTCCTTGTCAATAATAAGAGCGGTCAAGCAGGAATATATAAAATAAAAGTCACATAGGTAAATAGGGGGTGGGGTGTTCGCAGTTCTTGACCGGACGAAATTTTGGACGATCTTTCCAACCCCAGCTCGTTCAACCGTCAACGCGACCGATAGTCTTGGAGTCGAAATGCAACTAATGATCAGCCGGTTTTTTTTTTTTTTGTTGAATTTTTTTAAGGCTAAGTAGAGAGGAAAATAAATACTCATTTATAAGAGACTTGAATAATCATTACATCCCAATCATCTAGCTATCTACCTACCTACCTAACACAAGTTACTCAATATATCACATAAGATATTTCCTAAGAGACTGACCAAAAGGAGATAGTCGATAAGACAAAAATCGTCAAGAAAGTGTAAGTACCTAAGGGTCAGTGGTGTATGTAGTGCGAACTAAGTGCGTCATTGCATTGTGTACGTCATCTCACCTGCAGGGAAGTTTATAATTTGGTGTACAATCGCCAGCTACCGGATAAGAATGTCCGGCGGGAACTCATCGCTGAGAGTATTACCAGAAGTTGAAGTATTCCCGTCGCAAGCAGCCGTTCATCAAGATAGATTTGTTGATTGACGCGACGTTGATCTTGGAAGGGGGGAAAAAAACATGGTGGATGTTCGCATTCCTAAATTATCTGGACTTTCGGAGTTCTGCTGTGCCACAACCCAGACGATCGGTTAACAAGAGTAATGAAATGACGAGCGCTCCAAATGATAAGATTGGTGGAGAAGGTCAGAGAAAATACATACCGAAAGTACTTGTTTATATGGACACGGTGTTAGTGCATGTATATATTCAAGGTTAAGTTGTAGCGTATCAAAAAGTTGGATTGATTGATTGATTGACTGACTTTTGATGTATTGGACGTAAATTTATACGGATTACAGTATTCTTCCTTTTTCAAACATCCAAGGTTCCAGCGGTTTCATACTCCTCAGTAAAAATACGACAAAGTCTATGTCTTTTACAAAAAGTGTTTCACAATGACGAAATCTGTATCAGTTCGCGTGACACGGCAGGTAACTTCTCAACCTATCAATAATGTTGTGAACCGATGTATTTGCATTGTGGTGGCCAATAAAAAAGGATTGGGTAATTTTGGAGGCTCGCTTGCCCTCAACCATTTTGTCCGTTTTGTCCACTTACACAGGTGCGACCTACACTTCTTCTCTCGATGCAGCAGCAATGACCGTATGCGCCTGGGCAGTTCCCCACATAAATTTAGTAAGGGTCCAATATCCTTTTCCAATCGTCTCTTAAAAAAAAAGTTTAGGGTCCAAACCAAAAATCAATTGGTGTCCTACACAATAAAAATACATTCCTAACCATATGATAATACAAATACCCGCTGTTCAATCTGAACAAACCATCGTCCTACGGAGTAGATCTCATATTAAGCTAGCTTTACCCGAGAAGGTTTCACGCCGACAATGAGATTATCATCGCTTGACTAAAATAGAACCCAAAGTCAACGATTGGCGTCGCTTCCAAAATGGCACTACCCTCATCTATGGTCTCAACGCGTATCTTCATATGACAGAGATTGGATTAGACAAGATATCCCTCTGTTTTGAGCATGCTACGTGAGTGATCAATATTAATAGACTATCATGTGCCTTTATCCCTGCGATTTAGCAGGCCTAACGTTGGAATACATACATAAAGTGGCTCCCCATTCCAGATATTTGGCTCTTAACGCAGACAAATGACAATCATTAACCATATACACACAGCCTTATCTTAAATAGACAAGGTAGATCCGGAATACCCAATGACGATGCATTAATGACAACATTCGCGGAGACCCTACCGACCGAGCAGCCCGAGTCTTCTTCTTTTTCCCCTTTGTCGTCTCTACACCCTTTTCACCTTGCGACCCAGCAGCTGAGAATAGCTATTCGCTCCATGGCCCACAGCAGCCCGCCCGTGCGTGCCAACCACCGGGAGAACGGCGCATGATGAATCAGATCATTATCCACCCACCTACTTCTCTACGGAGTACTAAAGTAGGGCTTTAATTTTTCTATACGGACAATGCTTCAAGGAGCTAAAAGACGGCCTTAGAGCTGCCGCTACGAAACTTTTCGCGCGACCATCGGCTTCTACGACCTACTCTGTCGTTATAGCCGGTCAATTTTTTAGCTAAAAATCGTTCCACTTAGCTTAGGCCCTCAAGGATAGGCACCGTGTCCACGTTGTTAGGCAGTGATGCTAAAGGATTTAGTGGCGTTCTACGACAACTATTCTCGATCATACAGATAAGAATATGAAAAAGAAAAAAATTTATGAAGATGGGGATTTGCGAGCCGTTACTCGTCCCCACCGATTCCGATCCGCGGTCGACCTTCCGAGATGGCTAGTCTGCAGCACGTGCGGAGGTAGAAGGTCATTTCCAACGTCGCACGGCATGGGACTATCGGGGTCCCAACCCCTTGTCAGTCGAAATACAGCTATGGCCCCCAGTTGCGAAAGAGAGTATTCACTTCGCGATTCCATATAACTACAGCGTACGAAGTACGGGGTCAACTCGGAAGTAGGCAAGTAAATGTCGATCTATCAATAGGAGTCGCACAGGCAATCCACCCTTGCAACTTCACTAACACGTGCAATATTCTCGGCTTTGTTCGGAGAACCGGCTAGGCTATTCGCGAGGCGAGATATTGGTATTTCAGCCCATATTCTAGGTTTATATCAATATATATATTTATTTTATCTACTTGTTATTCGAGTAGCTCACAGTCACTCTACACTCAACATACGACATCTCATCTATTTACCACCTAGTCAACCAACACAAATCAGCAGAGTCCTTCACGTCGGATATTCCTCCGTTCCGAAGCAGCTCCGGTTCCCGCCGAGGCACAGCATACTAGGCCGTAACTTGTTCATATAGAACACATATTCTGCTGTACCCCACCGACCCGTACGCGGGGCCCCATGTACGTGGCCTTAATGCGGCTATACAAAACCGTAAATACCTAGGTTGAAATACGGTGGGAGGGGCTCCCACGAGCGCGCTGCTGCCGCCGAAACCCTGCAGTACGAACGCCACTAGATGGGGGCGGAGGCGTTCCAACAAGAAATAAAAACACAATATGAGGCTTGGGTTAAAGAAGTACCCATATTCCAAGAATGTACAGGCGCTCCCCAGGGGGAAAGTCGGCGTCCACAGCAGATCATAGCGTACATAACGTGCCATACACTGTGAATTACATACATATTGATCTCACACCTGTATAACTTATGTAGGTGGCAAGCACCAACATATCATACACACCAAATGAGACCGGCAAGTAATCTAAAATCTAGCCCTTGGGAAAACAAGCCCCAGCATGTAAAAGGCCTCGGGAATTCTTATTATATTTATACGCTGCACATGGCTGCTCCAACATATCTACCCCAACCTATTACTCGATTTTGGATATTAATCTCCTATATGGCTTGCGTATTCCATACTGGGTTCCCAGGTCATTAGCGCAAAGCAGTAGTAGCTCAGAGAGCTATTATGTCCTACCTACCTAGGTATGTATAGATGCCATCTATACACTAAGTACATTTCGATGAATAATAACCAACTTAGAGATGAAATATAAAGCTATTCGTGGTTAGAGCATCAAGTAAGTGACCTAAACTAGGGGTTTAAAGGCACAATACCTTTCAAAAAGTATGTTATGTATAGAGACCAGTATGCGACTAAGTACTTGAATCTAGGTAGCAAAATCTGATAATTTAAGTCTAGAAAAGGGTGATTCTCTTCAAGAGTTGAATACATCCGAGAAGTTCGGTTTTGTGTAACGTGATATGATATAACCCCAGCAAACCCTCCTATAAATAACCTAATCTTTTACCTATTCCTATTCTATCTACCTTTCTTCAGTAAACAACAAGCCCCAGGAGTGTAATTCCAGCAGCGAAAAGTCGATGCAAGTGAACCACGCAAACCTAGCCACCACAGGTTAGCATCACTCGAATTCATTCAAGGTAACCCGGGGGGGGCATCATGCCTTAAGTCTGGAACAACGGCGATATAATGCCTCACAACAAGACCTTCGCTAGCTCAAGAGATAAACTACTATACAACTACCTAGGAGGTATATAAGGTCCGCAAGATCGTGCCTTTTGGGGTACTAATGTTTTCCTGCCGTTCCTCAGCCCTGCAGCCACCCAATTGCAGGGAGTATCCACAACGATGCGCGAGTGAATGCTTAAAGTGAAATGTGCCCCATTCGATATGTACTCAGCTAAAGGTGGCTCAAGGCTGACCTTGATGTATCATATGGCGTTATACCCATATATCTAGGGCGTCGAAAGTCTGGTTTATTAATAAACAACACGCGGTAAAGTAGTGAGCATTGTTTCAACCAATCACCTCTAGTTCAAGAAAACCAACGTGGATGTATATCTTGGCAACGCTGCTCGCCCTATCCCTGAACTACACGATGCCAAATTGCATAGGACTTAGGCCCGCGCCCATATATGCGGCTTATGGTTTGGAAGAGAACAACTTACAAGCTTAAAGTGAAATTTGCATACCTGCTTTCAATACATCAATGCCCATCTATTCCGTATGTCCTTAGATGGGATATATCCAGCGAAACAACATCATGATCATAGACATTTACCAAGACTTGAAGCAAGACTTGAAGCCATGAAATTCATTAAAGATGATGCATCCTTCGTATTATTCAGCCCTTTAGCCCCACATACCCCTTTCTGGGCATGCTAGGATTAGCTTCCGCCAGCTAACCATTAGGAGCCGACAGAGAGAGGAATGACATGTTAAACGACCAATCAAAACCCAGTATTCATTTTAAATAGAGTAGCTACCCCCAGCAATAGGTACCTAGCCCGGCCATTTCCGGCTTAGCGTGTGGGGTTCTTTGCTCCGCCAACAGGCTGCAGCTGGCTTAGGCATGAGCCGCCATGAATTTCCATGTTACGTTCTTACCTTTGCATCTTAATCAACAAACCTGCTCATACACTATATCACTATACACCGAGTAGATCACTATAGGACGTCACCTCATCTATCGATTGTATTTTGTAAGGACGTATTGATTACGGATATGTACAATTTGCTATAGTCTGGGCGCACTAGGTACCTAGCTATCCCACAGTGGGCTAGCTACCCAGCTCAGCTTCTTTACTGCCACTGCTGATCGCATCATACACGCCGTAATAGACCTTACCAGCGTGTCTTGGCTCAGATCCATCGCCTTCAATCAACAGATATGGCTGGCCAAAGTCAGCTCTTAAATGACGAGCAAACACCCCTGCTTCGTGGTGCCAGCAATAACCATGACCAGAGAGGAAGGGATGTGACTGCCGAAGGAGACTTCGTTCATCTCAACTATCAGGTTAAAACCTGGAGGCGCCGCCGTTGGATATCACTCATCGTCAGCGTTCTTCTCATCCTCGCCTTCGTTGTAATATTAGTTCTTTCAGGAGGTAAGTTACACTTGATTGCCATTGTCGTCCTGTCCGACGTTCCTCAGAAATTAGTCTTGTTGCACTGATTGCCTCTCTTTATGAGCGATGACTTGACCACATGTGTCGGTGTCGGATCTGAATTTTGTATACCACTACACCCTTATAACCCAATCTCATGTATACCGTCCCACGATCTCTAGTCGACATACACTTGTTTTAATCAGGATGGTGTCATTCACCGAAGCGAGTAGTGGCGCGGAACAGAGACGGGTCGCATTCATCCGGAATTCATCCTCTCCACTTGGGCTTGATTCATTTCTGCAACCTCGCATCTACGCCTACCGAGATTTCATTCATTCTGCTTTTACTAAACCCCAAACCCTCGCTCTTTAAATACACTTATCACTTATCTAGAGGTTATCATCTAACGGTATTATAGTTCTCTCACGTGCTCGACGAAAGCCGAGCATGAGTACCTCGCTGTGCCAGTCCGCGGCCTGCATCCACGCAGCGTCCGAAATTCTCTGTTAGTGGATTCTAATGTTTCCAATTCCGCATACAAGAAGCTTATAGTGTTTTTTAGACAATTTGTCTCCGGACTATCAGAAAATCGATCCATGCACTAACTTCGATACTCTGGTTTGCGATGGGTTCGGCAATCGCCATGACATCCCGCAGGATAAGACATCTTATTCCACGTCAACTATCATGTCTGAGAATGGCCAAACCACACTCAGACACATACTAGAATCGCCGTATCCTACGACTTCTGAGGTATGTCCTCCGACGTGGAGCAAAACTACACGAGTTAAACATGCTAACGCTCATATAGCATTCCTCATTCTCGCCCCGGAACCTTTTTACGCGAGCTGCTTCTACCGATGAAGAAAACTTCCTCATGATTCAGAACGCTTACAATTCTTGCTTGAATGAAACTGTCCTCCAGAAAACGGGTGTCGCACCTCTGGTTGACTTAATTGGCCAACTTGCTAAGTCTTTCCCTGTTGATGAGGGCGATTCTGCTACAGTACAGGAATCGGATTATGTTACTCTTAGCGACACTATTCTTTTCCTAGAAAAGATAGGAGTAACATCGTTTTTGGGACTTGGCGCAGGTGCTGACGACAAGAACCCGGATGTCGTTATTATTCAAGCTTCTCCAGCAGGACTTTCGCTGCCCTCGCCGGAATATTACCAGGACAATAATACCGTGAGCTCGTACCAAGCTACGCTGGGAGAACTTTTCGCCACCTTCCTTCCTTCGAACTCTTCGAAGTCGGCGGCTAAGGAACTTGCGCAATCTGTTGTGGACCTTGAGAAGAAGATTGCAGCGATAACACCACCTCCCGAGGACCAGTCGGATGTTACTGTAAGCAGCATACGCCCAAACATCCCCTCTTGGTCCTATTCACAAGCTAACGATTCTAGAAATACTACAACATCGTCAAGACCACAGACGCTGCAAAGATTGGACCGGCCATTGGTTTGGACTCCGTCCTTAAGGGTTTGGTTCCTGAGGATTATACAGGAGATAGCCTGCTACTAGCATTCCCGGAGTTTCTTGGCAACGTGTCCGAGATCATCTCTAACACATCTAAGTCTACTGTGCAAAGTTACCTAGTCTGGCACTTAATCAGTGCTTATGCGGACTTTGTTGAGGGACCGGAGGTTGAGCCACTCATTCGTTTCACCAATGTACTATCAGGAAAGGTAAGAGTGCATCTCGCATATTTGACTCTCGGGCAGTAGGTGGCTAACTATTTCTAGGATCCAGACACGAAGGCCGAGCGATGGAAGACGTGCGTTAGCTACGTTGATGGCACCCTTGGCTGGATCCTCAGTCGATTCTACATCGAGGCTGCTTTCTCCGATGATGCTAAGAAGTACGGCGATCAGATCATAACTGACATCAAGCATCAATTCATCTCGAAACTGAATGGTTTGAGCTGGATGGATGACTCAGTTAAGAAGCTGGCTGCGAACAAGGTCAACAACATCGACCAGAAGATTGGATTCCCCACGGCTTCTCCGAACATCACAAACCCAAATGCCCTAAAGTCTTATTACAGTGGCTTGACTATTACCGACTCGTATTTCAACAACACCGTATCAAGCAATACTCGCGAAGTAAACAGAACTTGGTCGACTCTTGGAAAACCCGTTGACCATGGTGAATGGGGCATGCAAGCTGACATTGTCAACGCTTATTACAACCCCGTAGGTAACGAGATCGTCTTCCCAGCCGGCATCATGCAGTTCCCCGTCTTCGAACTGGACCTACCTAGCTATGTGTCTTACGGCGCTTTTGCATCCGTTGCCGGCCACGAATTATCCCACGCCTTCGACAACTCAGGCCGCCACTATGATGAGCACGGCAACTTCACCGACTGGTGGACGGAGAACACGGTAAAGGAGTTCGACACAAGAGCCAATTGCTTCGTGGACCAGTACAGCAACTTCACCGTTGAGGGTACTAATGGCGATACCCTGCACGTCAACGGCAAGCTCACCTTAGGCGAGAACATTGCTGATGCTGGTGGTGTATCGGCCGCCTTCGCCGCATGGAAGAACCGCACCGAATCGAACCCCGATCAAAGCTTGCCCGGCCTTGATTTCTTCACTCACGAGCAGCTTTTCTTCGTCTTCTATGGTAACTGGTGGTGCGGCAAGACCCGCAAGGAGAACGCCGTCCAGCGTATTTACACGGATCCCCACTCACCCGCTTTCGCTCGTATTTTAGGTACTACAGCAAACTCTAGGGCGTTCAGGGAGAGCTTCAAGTGCCCTGCCAAGGAGCCCACTTGTGAGTTGTGGTAAACATGGGTTTGAGCGAGTAGGATCATAATGGTGTTTGTATACTAAGAAATTGGAATCTTTTGTTGTTAGGTATATGAATGAATAGGTAATCAAGCGCCCACATATTTAGCTACTATAAGGTGCTTTCTAAGTATGTGTTTAATAAGAACTTCAAATATATTTTAACCTATTACGTATCCATAACTCGTAGATAGCTTATACGTACCTTATAGACACAGCGATTAACATCGTGAATACAAGATTATATCAGCTTACTTAGAAATGGGTTAACTCCTTTCTTAGCGTTTCCGAACAGCGCTTCTCGGACGGGGGATAGGGACGACGCCGATACCCGCGTAGGAGCAGGCCGCTCTCGGCAGACTAGCCCCGGGAAAGGAATCTACCCCTGAATAGTGACCATTTCTCTAATAACTCGACAATAAAAAAAAGAAAAAAAAGAAGAGAAACACGACCGCCATCGACCATGAGTGCAAGCGGCGGCGGCGAGGATTTCCCTCCCCTATCCATCGAAGGCCTAACGCTGAAGCGGGCCTCGGTGGAGGACGTACCCGCGATAAAGAAAATAATAGACGCCGCATACACCAAATACATCCCACGTATCGGCAAGCCACCAGCGCCTATGCTAGCAGATTACCAATCACTCCTCGCAACAAGCGACATCTTTATCCTCCGAACCGCAGACACAAACATTCCCATCGGCTCCGTCATCCTACGCCAAGACCCTCTCACCAATTCACTTAAGATCAACAACCTCGTTGTCGATCCCATGGCTCAGGGCCGTGGTTATGGCCGGATTCTAACCGAGTACTGTGAAAAAGCAGCGCGGGCGCAAGGTCGTACAGCTTTAACGCTGTTCACGAATATCAAGATGTATGAGAATCTCGGTCTATATGCAAAACTAGGCTTCGTGGAGGCGGAGAGGAAGATTGAGGATGGTTACGAACGGGTCTACTTTCGAAAGGATTTACTATGAGAAACTGGGGAGCGAATTTTACCCGCTAAAGGCTTCAAGTAACTATGCTGTTTTCCTTCCAGAACCTTGTGTCTGATTGAAATACAATCGTCTTTAGTACAAGTCGAGAGATAGCTTGAATGAACAACACTGCTGTGATAGCAGCTGGAAGGGGTGGGATGGGTAATCCTTCGTATGATTGTAAAATTTAGGTAACAATAACGCTTCATACATGGACGCGAAGGAAAAATGACTTAAAGTAAGCAAAAAAAGAAAAAAAAAAATTAATGACGAGGGAAAAGAGACTTCCTCGCCTAGGTGATATATGTTATCTCCCATAGTTTTATATTGTATTGACCGAATATTGCTAAAACGCCGCCATCCGGAGAGAAAGTCAACCCAGTTTGATCACTATCTATGTCAATCTTCTCGAGCTTCTTCCCTGTCGCTGTATCGAATAAGTAGATCCCCATGGTTGGAATAAGAATAGCAAAAAATCTACTATCCACGGAGAAGACCGTTGAGTTCTGGTGGCTTTCCCATCTGGTCCTAATCGGCTCGGAAATGGTAGACGCCACGCCCTTATCGAAGTCCCAGAAGTGAACTATGATAGTGTTTTCTTTAAAGTAGCGGCCGGCTATCCTCTTCCCGTCCAGAGACCAAATAACGGCCCCATTGGTAGTCACGGGTAAGTCGCCGAAGATCTGGCTTGTCTTGTCCATCGCCCTGTCTATGATTCTGATGACTCCGTTGTGCTCGTATTCTACATATGCAATCTTGGTCCCGTCCGGTGAGAAGGTGACGGGCCCATCCGATGTAGTAGTGGTTAAAATTTCTATCCCCGTTGCCAGGTCCCACACATGCCGAGCCCCCGCGGAGTTCACGAAAACAAAGACACTCCCATTCGGGGAAAAAATGTGCCCATATCCGGAGCCGCGGCTGCCGCAGCTAAAGGAAATGCATCGCGATACATTAGGCGATAACCTCCATACTTCAATCACACTATCATTTTTTATTGCAAGCAGGTTACCGTCTAGAGAAAGAGTTAATAAATCAGAAAAGGGTAGATTTTGACGCCAGGTCACGCCATTCCATCCCAGTCCAATCAATTCGTTTGACCCGGTATACCGGCCTACAATTGAGGTGTGATTCTCAGACACCCTAAGGATTCCGATGTCGGAAGAGTCGGCAATATGTGTGTCCACTCCTGTGAGGATGTCGAATACCCCCCATCCAGAGCCATATCGACGTATCATTTTGGCATGCGCTTTCTGGATCGGCGCAGACCCGCTGGGCCAAACGACCTTGCGATCTAGGCTGCCTTTCATTGCGTCCCAGAGATCAATTACACTGCGATTGGAGACGACAACAACTATTTTCCTGCTTCGTGGTAAGAAGCTTACGGAATCAATATATCCCCCATGTTCGCGATCTCTGAAATAGGTCGTTAGCTGCCTGATGTTGAAATAGCCCCCGACGCTAGTAGGCAATTTCGCACGCCAGGCACTACTAAGGGAACTATATAGAGAGGAAAGCAAGGTGACTGCAGCTATAGAATCCGGGTGATGGCTTCCTAGGGCCGAAAGCCTGCCATTCACGGCTTTGAGACACAGACTTTGTGCCTTGGCCCAGTCAGGTTTCTGCTGTCGAGATATCAGCAGAGCGCGTAGGTAGCACACTGAGAACACCTGTAGGTCGGGTAGCTGCGGGTTTCTGATTAGCTCCCGCAGGATCCTTTTGGCTTCCCAAGCGCTCAACTTATCCTCTGCGAGGGCTGTCGCCAGCAGGAGCTGGACATTTTGGTACACCGATGCGTCAGGACCAGACCGGACATCAGCTCCGGAGCGTTCTATGGCCCACATCATCTTTTTCAGGAGGGGAATCGCCTCGGAAAACGTCCCCGAGCGTATGAAATTCCTTGCTTTCTTATACCGCCTTTTGAACCTCTCAGTTTCGACGCCTTCGTCTTCCCAGCTGCTGATAGTACTGGGAGGCGTGTTAATGGGAGTGCTGTCCAAATCATCCGTGAACTGAGTCGAGGCTGTAGATAGAGAATCATCCGTCTCGTCGCCGGGTTCTTCCGTTGGGTCTGCTTGGTCTTGATTCATAAGCCAGGACGCAACCCTATACAATCTGCTAGGGCCGACCGGTACGCCTCTAACGGATTCGGACGAAGCGGCGTAGCCAACTCCACCGCTCTGATGCCGTCTTACGGTCCCTGCTCCGCTTGATGATCGTTCCGACTCGGTGATGGCACTGGCGTTCGAAGCTAGCGCTCGTACAATCGTAGCCAATTCCTCACTGCCTTGAACTATCGATTCATTGGACTGGGGGTCGGCGGATTGACCCCTAGCATTACCATGAGCAAACCCATGAACCTCGGCCAGTATAGCGGCAGTGTTCTCCTCCAACTGTAAGATTCTACCTAGTAAGAGGCCCTCTTCGGGTTGTTGGTCGGGATTCCGATTACTTGAGCGAGTATTTTGGCTGCACACCCAACTTTAATAAACCGAAAGTATGGTCAAGAGGGAAGAGTAGGAATTACCAAAAAGAAGGGGGCCAGTTTACTTACATATTCATTAGAACTGGGATGTTGAAGGCAGATATGTACGTATTGATCCGCAATTTAAGATGATTGATCTCCTGATCATACATAGTAGTGCGGAGATACTCCCTCGTCCGATCGAGGAAGGATCTATCACGACGAATTGCGCGATAGATAAAATCAAGCCTCGAAAACGTCTGCGTCGCATTCGTGAGAAGGGCCTCTAGCGATTGCGAATCCCACCATCCCGCGACGTGATTCCTTATGGCCCCGGTCCGAACCTGGTGCTCGAAAATAGATAGCGAGAACTGAAAGGTGTCCAGCTCTGCGGCAAGATGCCCGGAGGCCTCATTCACGTTCCGTATACCGTCAATCATGTTCTTGACGCTTATAACGGACCGGCCTAGAGCCGCGAGTAAAGAGAGGGACGAGGCAGCTATGCCGATGGCTGAAGCCGGGTCCATGGTGATAGAGGTGGTGAGTCGTTGCAACTCATGGAAAGAAGTGTTGATGGAAGGATTCGCGAGGGGTGAGATAGCGATGAAGAATGCCGAAATACTCCGGGGGTGGGGTCATATGCAGCACCTATGTAGGCATGAAGTTCACGGTAAAGTATTTTCTTTCAGCAATTGCTACCTACCTACTTGAGTAGGTGTACGGTTTCATCATTTCATTTGTTTTACTTGTAATTCGTATGAAATGACTTAGAGTTGTGTTTAGCGACCCTCCAGCCAGTCATATAGTGTCGCTAGGCGACGAGAAGTCGTTTCAATAATGTATCGCCAATCCGTTCTTTCGTTATTGCTACCTCATCCTTCTATGTAACTCTTTGCTCTATATAAAACGCACTCGTCGAACCAAAGCCGTGGATTCTTTTTGATCCCAAAATTAGAGTATACTCTCTAAGAGTGGCATATAACTCCGTCAAAACGAATGCTAATACCAATGAATACCGAACCATCCAAACTGACGATCTGACGCCGTGGCTAAAATACCGTCCAGAAAAGCGCCCGAAAGAAAGCAATTTTGCCCAATTTTGTCTACTGGGGACTTTTGACATGATAAAAGATAGACAATTGAGATCCCCATTTTGCTATGCACTCTGTTTGAAGCAGACCAAAAGGAATGTTCCCTTTACCCTATACTAACATCCACTCCGCCCCAATTCGCTCACAAGCCAAGCTTATGCTTCTTGATACGTGGGAAGACGCCGACAAGTAACAACACAACGATGACGATCAGAGCCCATAGCTTTAACCCCAGAACGTTGATGTTATAGTCGGTCTCAGCAGCGCTAATAATGGTAGCGCCTAGGAAGGGCAATAGAGCGTAACCACTGGCGCGGTGGTACTTCCAGATCTTCTTCGCATTCGCCTCGCCGCCATACAGCACGGGGACAGCGAACATAGTAAACCCAATCAAGTACTGCGCCAAGAGCCAAAACGAGGCGATGACACCGAGGTACCCGTGTACAGAGTGGAAGTGCGCGCCATGATTAATCTCCTTGTTAACCTCGATACTGATAACGCCGACGGCGAAGATGGCGAACGCTAAGAAATTGAGGCCGGCGTGGACCTTTTGGCCTACTTGTTTCTGTGTGCCGGTATGTGTCGGTTGGAGGACGAGGATCGATTGGATGAGAACAAGAATGCCTAGTGATTGCGCGAGGGGGTGCACCGAGAAGAGGATCAGAGGACCGTTGAGGAAGACGGCGGCCCAGACCGAGGCTACAAGGAGGATGCCGGCGGTTTCAGCGAGGACGCCCGTGCCTGATGATTGTATGAGCTTTGCCATATTATATATATCAAAGTAGCATTGGGGAAATGTTTGGTAATATTATTGTAGCTCTAGTATATGTATATTATATGCTAAAGACAGATTAGGGGCGCGGCGGGGCAAGGTAAGGCAAGGTAAGGCAAGGCAAGAGTGACTAAATAATGAAACGGAAAGGACAGATCTACGACGACTAAAGAAGTGAGCACCGTACCAATGAAGAGGTTTTTGATTATGGGAGCGTTGTCCCTTTGAGAAGCATCTCCCGGCCGGCCCAAAAGAGGTTCTAGATCACCCTGTCCGTCGTTGTCCGAGCTGACCGGGGGATGTTGGGGTATTCCAGTAGCTGATGCCATTTTGCCAATTTTTAATTAACGTAACGTCCTTTTTTTTTCTTGGGCGGATCTACCGCACGGGTCTGACAGTAAGGCAGGCTGTGCTAGGGGTATGTATTATTAATGACGTTGATGTAATTTAGGGGTGTATTCGGGAAGCACTTGGAGAGAAATATTGACCAAAAAATGCAGAATTTGGGTCGTTAATAAGAAACTTCCGAAGATGAAGAATTTTTTAAAAAAGGAGTTGTTTCACTTCATCTTTTTAAACATTACGAAGCTCGCCCACCCAAGAAGTAAGAAGGCTGGCAGCTGAATTCTGAAAGGGGATCGAGCTCACCATCGGTGACGGACATGACGGATATCTGCTTGAACCAAGCTTCGACCTATCAGCGTCTCGCGATTCTTAAGCGGGCGCTGTATTGTAGCGTAGACCGCACTTGATGCGGGGGAGCTACATCAGCAATCCCTGATTTGGGAAGGTTGTTGGTACACAAAGAGGATGAGTACTAACTTGAAGCGGGAAATAGGTTTCATCTTCTGCTTCGTAAAGGCGAAGCACCCGAGCTACATGTATAATGTATGTGAATTTTGTATGGATGTATACAAGGACACAAATATGATGAATAATCCATTATGGTTGAATGGAAAACCGTTTAGCTTCGGATGAAGATAATGCAAGGAAAGAGGGACAAGTGGAACGGCAATGAAGAACTGCAGGATTGCATATGTCATAGGTACTAACCGGCTGACTTGTCGAGTTAAACAATTGGTTGGTGGATCATAGAGTTTACGCCCCAGCACGAACACATTAGCGATCAAATGCAATTAGCATACCTAGGCAAATTGTATTCTGTATCGGCCGTGGCCGGGCGTGGCCGTATTCCGGAGGTTTGCCCCACTAGATTAGCGTATTGCGATTTCGAAGTCGGAATGTTGCTCCTCAGAAGGGGTCATCTGCAATCGGGCAAACAATGTGGAACGTCTTTCTTCTCTGTGATATATCGGTAAAACATTTCCCTGAAGGAAACACTTTTGAGAGAGAAGACAATCAATAACCATGGCGGAAGACATCGAGTACAAGCTTGAGGTTGTGAAGGTCACACCAATTGCCTCGGAGGAAATCGATAAGACTTTCCGATCGAGCAGCATCGGTACGTGAACGCAATGACGTGAGAGAAGGAAATGAAACAACAACAACAAAAAAAAAAAAAAATGAGAATTGAGGCTTCTCTAGGCTGACTCGTATCCAATTAGACTTGATCTCCGGAACATTAGGAGGCAAAGTCCTAGGATTCTCGGACCAATGGTTTGCCGATGCTATCAACCTATTGACGCCTACGCCTCCTATTAGGCAGCCTGGAAAGATGGTCTATACGGGTGCTTGGTATGACGGATGGGAAACGAGGAGACACAACCCAGAGCCTTTTGACTGGGTGGTTATACGACTTGGTGTGGCGTCTGGTACCGTGGAGGGCGTTGAGATTGACACTGCCTTCTTCTCTGGTAACCACGCTCCCGCAATTTCCATCGAGGGCTGTTTCTCATCAGATGACGATGAGGTTCTCTCTTGGAAAGGAGAAAGAGGAAAATGGGAAACCATTCTGGGAATTCAGGAATGTGGCCCCTCGCAAAGGTTCGGCTGGAAGTTGGACAACCCCACCTCAAAACAGTATACGCATGTCAGGCTCAACATGTACCCCGATGGAGGAATTGCAAGATTCCGATTATTTGGGCATGCAGTTCCGGTCTTTCCACAGGATACTGGCGCAATTTTTGACTTGGCTGCAGCTCAGAATGGTGGCGTCGCAGTCTCTTGCAGCGACCAGCATTTTGGTACCAAGGATAATCTTATCTTGCCCGGTCGAGGCAAAGATATGGGAGACGGTTGGGAAACTGCACGGTCTAGGACTAAGGGACATGTTGATTGGGCCATCATCCGTCTGGGTGCACCGGCTCTCATACAAGACTTCGTTGTAGATACGGCATTTTTCAGGGGAAACTTCCCACAAAAGTCCAAAATCGATGCGATTGAATGGAAGGGGACTGGTGAGCCTGGGGCTGATGCTGATGGATGGGCTGAAGTCCTTGAGCCTAGTAAGTGTGGCCCTGATCAGGAACACAACTTTCCTAGCGCAATAAAGGACAAAACCTTTACCCACGTGAAATTGACTATCATTCCTGATGGAGGCGTGAAGCGATTGCGCGTGCTGGCTAAGAGGTCTGTCTAAAAGCGACATTCAATGGAAAGGGATGGGTTCGTCTTTCGGAAAGTATATATTTACCAAGATTCCAATACATATATGTTCCAATTAAATAGACTCTTAAGGGCCATGGTCGAATAAGTTGTAGGAATGATTGAAAGGGAGAAGAGCAGTCACAGAAGCGCTAATGCGTTAAAATACCGTGCGAGTGCACAGTGTTGTGGTATATTAAACTGTACACCTGTAATTACAGGGCGTACAGCGCTGTAAGAAGCTTCTCCCCATAAATAAACGAGCGAACATTTTCCTCCTCGAATTCTAGCCCCGCGCTACCAAGTCATCTCTGTTCCATCCATAGCTCTGATATACTTTCCAGAAGTCTTTTCGCGAGTTGCGTTGTCGATCTGCTCTCAATTAGTTTCTTCTCTGCAATTAACGTTTTTATTATTTCAGATTTACAATATCTAGCATTCTCTCAACGCAATGCTCGATTGTAATGGGTGCCTTTTCCAAGTTTCCGAAAGTTCGGGCAACCCAATTTCCTGGGCCGGTTTGAACAAGGCTGTAGGGCTTCCATCAGCAAGCCACTAACGACGAGGGAAACGATACTTTGGGGAACTTACCCTGGGTGTATGGCCGTAGCCATGAGCCACTCGTTTTCGAAGTGTATCGCACTAGGATTGGGCTTATTAAGTGACTGATGACATGTAGCTAATGATTAACAGTTATATTGCTTACCATGTTAACCAGTTCAAAGCCGCCTTCGACGCACCATAGGATGGGCCGACCCAAGATTGAATATATTCCATGAGGCTGATAGAGCCACCCCCAGTGGAAACTGATATCCACTTGGGTGATTTCTTCGACTTTTGTAAAAGCGGCTTGAAAGTCTGGAACAAGACCAAAGGTGCCACTGCGTTGACGTGAAAGTTAGATATCATATCCTTGGCATCGACAACGTCAAGCGGCTGCACGTGTGGGCTCCCTCCTGCGTTAGCAATAATTATATCAACATAGTTGATGCCATATTCCACGACGGCTTCAAAGGCTTTGGCTGTGTCAGTGAAGGATGTGCTCTCAATGTGTACTAAGAACAGCCTGGAGCCAGGAGCTACTTTTGAATTCTTAAGTGTGGAAATTTCCGGCTTGGATTCATCTCGAATGCTTCCCACCACGACATGGTTGGGCCTCTCGAGATATCTCTGGGCTAACTCCCTCCCAATACCTGGAGGATGTATAAGTTAGCTCACGGTAATCCGGGTCAACCCCGCGATACTAGTTGGAGAGGACGAAATATATACCTGTGCTAACACCGGTGATAACTACAACGACTGGGTCATCCATCGCGAAAATATTTTTCAAATGTTTTACCCCGAAGTCAATTAGTTTCTTCGAGTTGGCTGGTATACAGTTGGCCGAAGGGCTGGCTTTATCTCAGCAGGCTCAATCCCTTACTTGAAAACTGCGGTAAAGGGATTTGAGGTACATTTATAAGTTCTACCACTCTCTTATAACTTTATCAATTTATGTTGTATATGTAATTAATACTTAAGAGTACATCTTTTCTTTCCCTACTTCTAAGTGCTATATATATAACGTAGATGCGATTTTATAGGATCTACTTACGAAGCCTAACAACTTTGAAGGTACATAAATTGGGTACTTAGATACCTTAGACTAAAACTCGCTATAAGCCATTATACACACTCCACTTTAATGTTCTGCACGGGCCACTACGTGTGGCTAAACAGGCGCAGCCCGCTCTTCGCAAGGTTCAATGTTAGTTGACCTTATTGAGATAAGTATTAGGTCTATCTCTACACTATCGCGCATATATGCCACTCCCTGATACTAGGCTTAAATGACGAACGTCCCCAAGTCTGGAACCCAATATAAAGGAGAGACCCACAGCTCAATAATAATAAAACTACTTAGAAAGCATGATTGCCCTTTTACTTGATCCGACAAATCCTTGAGCGAAATACTCCTATGCCTCCCATCCAGCAATGGATTTTGGGGACTCTGATGGCGGGGGCTTTGGCGGGGAGTCGCCAAAGAAGCCTCGAGCTCTGCCAGCCGACCTACCCAAGTCCCTAGACGATCGGAAGATAGTATCAACAGAACTGGTCCCGGAGACTGAGATGTACGATGGTTGGCAAGGTTCGTGAATTAGGACCCCTCCCTATAGCTTGAGTCAAAATCCGAGCACATTCCAGATGCTAATTAGAGCAATCTTTGTACAGGACAGTCACAGTTCCTTACGAGCCCTATGTTGGCGAAACCCCTTCAGTTTAGCAACCTGACCCTAGACGATCCTAACTACGACCAAGATGTAACTAAGGGAATGCCCGATAGCGATACGCGATTAATGCAAATGCTCGCCGCACAAGCACAACACCTTGGAGGGGAGGCTTTTGGTGATGTAGATGCCATCGCCGCAGACGAGAAACTATCGGACGAAGAGAAAAAGAACATGCTACAAAAGGCTTTGATTATGTCCGCAAGTAACGGTGATCTTGAAAATGTGAAGAAGATACTTGGCGGCAAGGCCAAATCATTTGTGGATATTAATGCACCGGACGAAGAAGGAACACCGTCCTTGGTATATGCCAGCTGCTTTGTTAGTCATATAACTTGCATTTCGTATCCATGATATGGCCGCTAATAATGCTCAGGGACATGAGAGTGTGGTACAAGCTCTTGTAGACGCTGGAGTTGATGTAGATAAACAGGACCGCAACCATTGGAGCCCCCTAATGTGGGCAATGACCAACCGACATAAGGGCATCGCGAAAATCTTGCTTGACAATGGAGCCTCACCTGAGGCTAAGACCTCATCTGGAAGAACAGCTTTCGATTTTGTTGCGCCCGACAGCGAAATGTCGTATTATTTACACGATAACGGCTACGGTATCGGGAATGCTGGGGTTACAGACGATTTCTACAACCCAGGCTTCTCCCAAGATAGGTTCGAAGAAGAAATGGCCGAGAACGAAATACGGCGGCGGATGATGATGGATAGTGCGCGAGACCTTGAGGTCGATTTAGGCAACATGGGAATAGATGACCAACCTGAGGTAGGTTACTGGTCCGCGACGAACTATGTGAGTTCGGTGTGCTGATTTCAAAAGCCCATGGATGAATTCGAAGAAGAGTTACAGGAGTTTGACTGGAGCCGATGTCTACATGACCAGATGTTCGTCTTCCAAGAAAGTGATCTAGATAGGATCCTCGACATTATTATCACCAACATGCAACCGCAGCGATCACCATCCCAGAAGCCCGTTCCGGCCAATATGATTTTTCTTAGTGCGCGATACGCCCACTACCACTCTAGCCCCGAACTTTTGGAGAAGCTGCTCGTCACTGCTCAAGACAAAATTAATGAAGTTGTCGAAGATCACCAATGGGATATGACTATCTTGGCCTTCTGGATGTCGAACGCGACCCTCTTATTACACTATCTAAAAAAGGATGCCGGATTAGTTGAGGCAACCACCGAATTCCAAGCGCAGCTAGCGGAACTCATTAATGAGATATTTATTCTGATCGTTCGAGATGCAGAAAGACGGTTAGACAAAGTATTGGATTCCGCGATGCTTGACCACGAGACCATTCCTGGACTTGACGATGTCACTTTTCAACATGAATGGAAGCTTTTTAAGAGAAAAAAGGAGGTCAAAGAGGAGCCACTCGAAAAACGATTCCGACCTCCCTCCCCAAAGCAGCGTGCTAAGCCCGCCCCTCGAAACGTGACATCCCTTTTATCATCTACATTATTTGTCCTCGATTTATACGATATCCACTCTGTTATCACTGCGCAAATCATATCACAACTTCTTTATTGGCTGGGCGCAGAGCTATTTAATCGAATTATGAACAACAGAAAGTACCTTGCACGAACGAAAGCGATGCAAATTAGAATGAATGTTTCAGTATTAGAAGATTGGGCTCGGTCTAACAATCGCCAACCTGAACATTATGAACATGGTGAGACGAATTCTTCCGGCGAAACGACGGTGGAGGCAGCACGGCGGCACCTAGCGCCTATCGTTCAGCTCCTTCAGTGGTTGCAATGTTTTTCATCATTGGATCCGGACGACCTGGAGGCTCTAGTTGGAACACTCCAACAGCTCAAGCGGTTAAGTCCGCAACAGTTGATTTTTGCTGCTAAAAACTATCGACCAGAAGTCGGAGAAAAGGGATTACCTAAGAGTGCGTTGAAATATCTCGACGCAATCCAGAAAGAAGCTGCACTTAGGAGAGATCGCAGAAGAACAATGTCCCCGCTGCCAGGTAGCGCACCCTCGACTCCTGTTAGGAACACGTCGAACGGTAATAACGCGGCGACTCCTGGGAGTGTGCAAGGCACGCCGAATCCGGATCAAGACGACGACGACGATATACCAGACGGAATAAATCTCGATCCCTCCTTAATGCTACCATTTACTTTACCAACCGTTACTGATATGCTTGTCTCCTACGGTGCCGGGTTTGGAGGAGTTAATCGGGAACGAGAGAGGAAGTACATTCCAACAATCCCGCCAGAGTTCCTCGAAAAATTAGAAGTAAGCGGCAATTCAAATCGGCCAATTTTTGGCGAAAAGGATTGGGAAAATGAAGAAGTTTGACGGGCTGATGGATATTCGCGTAGCGGTCAACGAATGAATGACCACCTCTAGCTCGGGCCAGCTCAGCATGCATGGAGCTCTACTCATCACTACCACAACCTACCTACCTACCTTACCTACCCAATTCGATGACATGACCGAAAACTCGTCGCGTTGGCGCCAACGAAAACGATTATCGACGCGGTATTAAACCATATGCAAGCTGCAAGGGACGAACGCGTGGCGCAGGGGGAACCCAGGGGTCCAATGCATAGCATTTTCGGGAGAGGCGTTGGGATGAGTAAGATGAAGCCAGTAAGATGTCTGGAAAGTTGTCATTAGTGCATCTTAGCGAAGTGTGCTGGACACGACAGGAATGATTATTGGAAGATATCAATTTAAGGGGCAGATAGCTATATGCATAGACTAGGAAGCGGAGATGAGAAGAGAAGGGAGAAAAGAAAAAAAGAAGAGATTCCCTACCCCTCTGACTGTGTTCAACCTTGTCCCTGTTTAACCTTGAAGCTTAACGTTACCGTACCTGAAATGTGTCGTGGCTCTCGTCACAACTAGTGGATCTCTTAACAGTCGACAACCAATTATCTTGACTTTCACTGTGATGCGGTCAACCTGAATCCAGGCACAAAAAAATCGCCAACTGTCGCGACCGACCCATCATCCAACCACGTCCAATCCGATTCTATCAATTCTTCTAGCTTCGCTTACAAGAAGGTTGTACTCATGCTTGGCACACAACATTGGCTTTGAGTCTTGGCAACGGATTCCAATATTGAGTTGTTTTTTCGCCGTCGCAATTTCAGTGATACCAAAATCGAATGCACAATAAGTTAGACTTGTCTAATTTTAGAGCTTCACGCCTCAATTGCTCAGATCCGACAGTAAGCCTAGAATGTTATAGCAAAGTACCTGGTAAGTGAAATTGTAAGGGGACCTTGATTGACCCCGCGCTTTTTCTTTTGCTTTTCATTTAATTGGTGACGGTTGATGGTCTCAAGGGTTGGCTGGCTAAAATGGCCACGTCAATGATCCAGTTGAGGTCGGAGTTCATGACCCGCGGGATTATTATTTTTTTTTTCTTTTTCTTTTTCTTTTTCTTTCTCGGTGTCTGTTAGGGACGAGCTTCCAGACCCAACCAAACTTCTTTGTACCTTTGGGAGTGACGTATACTACTCGCTTTACCCCGCTAGAACAGATGGGTATACACTTTCTAGATATACTAGAAGGGTCATTCGGTATTCCTATCTATACCGTACTACTGGTGGAAATGGATAGAAAAAATGGTGTAGTAGTTAACTATCGTGAAATCGGTTGCCCTCTTTTTTCCCATTCCTTTTACCCTCCGATCCCGACTTGGCTAAGCTCAGGTCGATCCTTGGATCTCGCATCTATAGACAAGCCAATAGCGAGAGAGGATGGGGAGCAGCTAGTACTACTTACCGGTTCAACATGTCTTGCCCTCCCATTTTGCGTGGGGCTCTTTATAGGATAAACGGAGCGATTCCAGTCATCTACCCTATCGATTAGGAAACTTGACATCGCGGACATGCGGAGGACTATAGCTTTTCATCAGTCCTGAGGCGGTTTGCCGTCACCCTCCCTCTACCTAATGGAGTGTAGAGGACGTTTGCGGGGGAGGCGAGGTCTGAAATTGAAGTTGGGGAATACACCCATGATGGTTCCAGGCTTTTCTTATATCGAGTAACTATTAGGTATAGACTGGAAAGGTGTTGCTTTTTTCCAAGCCCATAGTCTCGGTAGTGTAAGATACCGTTAGCGAGCACATATGGGTCATGAGATCTATGACCTAAATGCGCCCAACAAGTTTGCGACTTTTAATTCTTCTCTTAGGTACACGTATTACTTAAGTTTTGAAAGTGCAAGAAATGCAGAAGAAAAGCACGTAGGGTATTGTTGACAACATACATGTACGTAGTTGGAAGTGAAGTGGATTGTACTAGACCGCTAGATTTCCTGTTTGAGTATACATATGGATTAAGTCCACTAAAGAAGAGTTGGGCGAGCCAGTTAAAGTAATTGGGAAAAAGAACGGTGCGTGACCGCTCCGGGCCTGCGGGCTTGGGATCTATCGGTCTAGGTGGGAAAAGGTTGGGAAAGTGCCGCGGTACAACCAATTACCAAACTTGCAGCACTTGCAGCGGGCCAGCTGGAAAGAGTGGAAACCTCGCAACTAGGTACCTCTTGCCCCGACCAATTGGGAGAAACGGCAATGATGGTTGTAAAGTTTGAATACCTAATATACTTAGTATGTACTGAGTATGATGTGCATCGCTTCTATTGATGACCTTTCCGCGACCTGGTAGACCTGGTATACCTAGTAGAAGACCCTCCCCCCGACCCCCGTAGTACCGAACATGTCCTATGGAATTGCTGCCGCCACGACATCCACATGTGCATGCTGGCCAGATCAGATGAACCGTGGTCCAAGTCACCCAAAAAAATTATTGCCAGGGCAAACATATTAAAGCACCCGGCACCGGCTTGTGATAGTCATTTCTTAAAAAAAGCAATTATATGAGCTAGCTGGTATACCCGTTAGGCTTTTGGAGATATACCTCTATACCTATACATTTAAACATTGAAGGTTTAAAATTTACAACTAACAGCGGCGTCTGTGTAACTCTCCCACAGCTTAAAATTTCCCGATTCATCGATTCACCGTTTAAAAGTCAATATTTGAGTTTTCCTTTGCAGCCACCACATCAAAGAAGGTACGAGTGAGAAAAGCCTCAATAGATTGATTTCCTGACTCCCTTTTTTGGTTTGATCATTTCTTTTCTCTCGTCATCTTCTTGCTAATTGGCCTTTCTTGAACGCCCACCCCCCATTCCCTAGAACAGAGTCACGCTAACATATAACTACTTATCTATAGTCGTGTAAGTGGTGGACAAAGCTTGAGACGATTCATTAGTCCTTTGTCAGATTCGAGTTGCGAGTTGCGATACATAACGACAAACGGTTCTCTGTCACTGGAGCATAAACAAAAAAAAGTTAACAGCTCATCTTTGTCGACGTGGTTCGTGGTTTTCAGAGTACTTGGCTTGTCAGTTGGTTCGAGGCTTGTCAAGCCACTATAGCGGTTGCTGGCAGAATATCCTCTTCCGACGTCGCACCAAATACGATATTGTTCATTAAAGGAAATCCGTCGTGAACGAATGGCGCACATGTATTCCTTACACACATCAGCCACGGGGTTCGGGCTTGCGTCAGGTCCACCTGGCACGGTACCGTATGTGCCTCCCACAGCGCCCTCTAAGAGTAACGCAAGCACCCGGTACAGGAGTAGGTCTGCAAGTCTTGTTCCTTTTAGGGACGAATCCAAGCTGGTTGCGTTACGATATGATCAAACTGTGCAAGCCGAACCGCCTATCCCAATACCACCACCACGATCTTCTCGTCGCCCGCCGCCACGTCCAATTTCTTGCAATACAACTCGTGGCCCCGTTGTAGTGCCACCTCCTCGTCCTGCACCCCCTACCGAGCAGCACCCTGCACTGAGAACGATTAGCACACCACGAACAATCGAGCAGAGCGGAAAGCGGGATTCCGGTCATTCTCCGAGTACGCCATCAAGCTGGACCATTCGTGAAGATAGTGAGACAGATGATGAGGATCCATTTGCATACGAAAACGTGCAAAGATTTCCCGAAATTAAACCCCTCCAATTGAGGACTCGTTCTGCATCCCCCTCTCTGTACTCGCGTCAAGAGGAACGAGTGAGCGAATCCAACAGCAGGGCCAGTGCTCCTTCAATTTCTCCCGCATTATCAGATGGCGAGACAGTTTCACCAACTTCACCAACTACTCCTCCATCTGGCTTTTCAAAAAGATTCGCAAGAAGTTTTAGTTTGAGATCAAATTCATCAAAGTCATCTATTGCGAGGATGGGGCGGCTGCGGAAGAAATCGGCGAATGAGGTGGCCCCGTGCGCTGATAACCCCAGCTACCCACTGAAAGGACAGGATGGTTCGGCGCCTAAATCTCCTAGCGGCAGATTATCGCCATTACCTGACCCCCATGGTTCCCCAGTTATTTCGACAACCATCCCCACCGAGAGCTTGTTAGAAGATGATTTTATGACCCAGCTATCTTTCTCCAAGCGTGGCAGCATCATTTTTGGTGGTAAGCATCCGCGTAAATCTTTCAGGAACGCGGCCATGATGGCCGACCAAGACAGTGGCATCGGCAATGAACACATCGACCTGGTGCAACCCCGAGAGCCACGCGCTTTTCCTTTAGTACCTTCGCGCGCAAAGGTTATCGATCCTACCGCCAGCGCAGGCACTAAGGAATCCGCCAAAATCTCAGGGGCGCCCAATGATGCGAAAACCGATGCCCTGACTAGCACGCCACCGACGCCACGAAAACAACCTCCCAGTCTCCGAGTTATATCTGCTGAGGCGGAAAAGGAATCTCAAAAGGTGAGATCGCTCTATGAATCCGGGGAAGGTCTCAATTGGGAGGAGGGCGGTCGACACTCATCAATTGATGAGCGTCTTCAACCCGCAGCAGAACACCCACTAGATAAGAACGAGAACGACGCGTACGGTTTCCTTATATATCCATTTCCGTTCCATTTGATCATGCTGACAAGTCGCGTCTCTTACAGGGCAAGCGACAAGGCTGGAAACCCTATTCCAACCTTGGCTTCTATTTCGTTGCAACCAGATAACGACTCTCGGCGCGAACACGAGTTAGCAGGAGGTATTGAGGACTGGGAAGGAGTCCACGGCGAAGAAGTCGATCGTTACGGTTTCATTTCAATCCAACAGTCGCAAGAGTCCCGGCCGACAACACCGAACGAAAACGCATCCGTTCAATTCTCACCTAGCAAACAACGAAACGTCCTTGTTCGCAAAGATGCAGCATCACTTTCGCTAAGAATCACGCGCGGTCCCAAGAAGAAGTTGTCGGCCCGCTCTTTACATACACAGGCGTCGGGTTTATCCACAGCATCGCGCCGTTCCGCTCTTTCGGCTACTTTCCGCCAAGCTACAAACTTATTACCGTATAACAGGGACAGGAAGCTAATAGATGAGGCTGGGGATATCCTTGCATCGCACCCAGGCTTGTCGCATATAAATGAAGATGGGTCGGCCGAGAGGAAAGCGGCCGAGTCGAAGGTGAAGGAAATGGTGCGCACGGAAAAATGGCGAAGGATGGCCAAAATAATAAGAACTGGTGCGGATGGACAAGGCATGGTATTCGAATTCGACACGAAGCATCCGAAGCTAGTCGAACGAACATGGAAGGGCATCCCTGATTGTTGGCGATCGGCGGCTTGGTACTCGTTCTTGTCATCCAGCGCCAAGGCCAGCAAGGAGCCATTTGCGACAGATGAAGAACTAAAAGCCGATTTCCACAAGCTGATTGAGGAGCCGTCACCAGATGATGGACAGATCGATCTAGATGTACCAAGAACTATCAACCAACACATCATGTTTCGAAGAAGATACCGAGGTGGTCAACGGTTACTATTCCGAGTGTTGCATGCTCTATCGCTCTATTTCCCTGAGACAGGCTATGTTCAAGGCATGGCTCCGCTAGCAGCAACATTTCTTAGCTATTACGACGAAGAGGCATGCTTCATAATGCTAGTGCGACTCTGGAAATATCGTGGTCTTAATCGAATGTACCAATCCGGATTCGCAGAACTTATGGGCGCCCTGAAAGACTTCGAGCATGATTGGCTGGGCAGTACGGATGTCGCCTCGAAGCTTGTGAGTACCAACCATCAAATCTAGGTAACTTAGACTTCAACTAACCTTTATCAGTCTGAGCTCTGCATCGATCCAACTGCGTATGCAACGAAGTGGTACCTTACCCTCTTCAACTTATCGATACCCTTCGCCGTTCAGCTTCGCGTATGGGATGCATTCATCTTACTTGGTTACTCGCCAGAAATGTCGGATGCCCTTGCTTCTCCAACCAAGGCCACTTTCGAAGAGCCATCATCTAAGGGATTAGAGATTCTTCATGCAACCAGTCTCGCCATCATTGATGCCCTTCGGCCTACGCTGCTAGATTCGGATTTCGAAAATGCGATGAAGTCCCTTACTTCCTGGGTTCCTATTAAGGACGAACAAGGATTTATGAACCTGGTACATCTGGAGTATAGACGTCACCACAACAAGCAGAAGGCGTAGGAAGCTGGATCGTCCTCCTAATGTACTTGGTACGAACTAGACTCGCCCGTCAACTTCCTCAACAACGGAAACGAGAAACACAATTCTCGTCGGAATATCATTAGTATAAACTAGGCTGGGAATCGTGGTACCAGCTAGTCAGTTAATCATCACGAAGGGGAATTTCTATTCCCCCAACATCGTTCAGGTCGCGACAATGGCCTGGCTTATTATCATCTAATTCCCTTTGTGTCTCGGAGGAGCGCTGGTGTTCGCCCATGCCGGGCCACAAGGTGTAGGTAGGCATGGGATACGTTGATGGATGGTTCTCGCACTATACCCCTATGCGTTTGATGGATGTTTACGAATGGAGAGGAAGGACAGTTGGTCACGTCAAAAATCTTGGAACTCCACCAGCTTATCATCGTTGCTATGTTACTTAATAAGGAGCTCTACTACACGATCCCTACAGAGGTCGTGTCTCCTATAATCACTAAAATGGTCGTCTAGTACCTACCCTATAGCTGGACTACCTACCATAAACATAATAATATTACCTATGAACGAAGTCAATCAGTTACCCTACCTTCAAGCTTCATAGTGATGTGTACCGATCCAAATACTTCAGATTACCTACCCAAGCACTAGGGGATGGATGGCACGTGTTCGCCTTCCGTAAGGATTTATATAGATATCAGTCTCCATAAAATGACGTAATTTGCTCCTGGAGATGCAGTTTTCAGGAACCACCCGAACAAAGTAGGGCTGATTGAAAGTCGAGTATATGCTCAACAATCTGGACGCATGATCGAAAGCTTTGACCTAAGCCAGAATAACGTTATCCATTGACGGCTGATGACCGGAAGAGGGTGTGATATTCTTTTTTCTGTCGGTAAGGTGTGGTTCTTATGTACTTTCGCAAGATAATCCGCGATGCTTCCTAAAAATGTCCTATTTGGGAAGGATGGTGCGCAGGTCCTGGATGGGTATGCTACAGGCGGCCCTGGCATTGTGCGCTCTCGTTGGCTCAGCTCTCATGCCTTGCTTGGCTAACTACCTAGGTAGATACCTACGCCATGTTTTCCCCCCTGGATAGAGACGGCGAGGTCTCGCCCGTTTGGCGATTTCCAGTCATATCATTATTTTTAAATGGTATAGCCCCTTTATTAAAAGTTTATAAGGACGGGCGAGTATGCGGGAACTATGGTGGTTTGTCTTCTCTCAATCTCTAGACGGTTCAGTATCTTGGGCTAGATATCCTGCGTACCTAGATGCCTACCCAAATATTGTTATATCTTTGTTTTTTTCGCATATCATATATCAGACATAGATACGGGTGTAATCATCTCAACCCTCACTTATTCTGATTTGAGGGGTTGTAACGATGGGGAAGAAGGTGGCACAACAATACGAGCAAATGAACCAACCGCCGTTCTACCCGTACTCACCACCCATTCCCGCCGGTGCTTTTCCTCCTCCTCCTCAGCAGCAACTACTACAACAACAGCAGCAACAACAACACCAACAACACCAACAACAATACCAGCAATACCAACAACCGGCAGAGGTTCCCCGCCAGTTCCCGACGGCCTTCTGTATGTACACTGAGTCTCGCTGGAGCCAGCGACATTGGATGCTCGGCGAGCACCAGGCGAACCCGCTATACGCCGTCTCACTACATAGTGGCTTGTCTGGACAGCCGGACGTTGTACTGCATAGTGGTCCAAATGAGAAGCTACCGCCGTTCGCTGGCGCAAAGAGAGATGGGGTACGTTGTCTTGTTTTCCTTTCTTTCTACACGGGGCCTTGCTTGCTATGGTTTTACTAACAACTGACACTCATCGCAGTGGGGCGGCGCCGCGAAGATTACCTTCCCAACTGGATTAGGTTCGCAGGAGACGGTGGAGAAGATGGAGAAGGGAGGGAGCTTGACACATCCGACCTTTTCGTTTAGTATTGAGGTCGGCCCGGGTATGTGGCGCGAGACTTTCGAGTGGCGACACACGTCCGGCGCTGCTGTCAAGGCGCTCGACGGCCAGAGGTCCGGGTGGAAGCTTGTTAGGCTAGCCGGTGGCGGCGGCGCGGGCTTTGGCGCCACGTCGAGTGATGGGAAGGAGGTCGTTGCAGTTGTATGTGATACTGTCCCTCCCAGATTACTAGCGTAAAGATTGGTTTTTTGTTAACTTACGTTGCTACAGTGGGCATGGGCCAGCGCCAGCTTAACAAAGGTCTTCAAGTTCCAATTCCTCAGCAGTGGCGCAAATGGTGCCTTAGGCGACCGCTGGGCTATCATGGCTGTTATCACGGCGCTCAAGATATGGGACCGCCAAAGACGAGAGAAGAATGCGAGGGCTGCGTCTGGCGGTGGAGCTTAGATTGCTGTCTGGGACTTTGTTGAGAATGGGTTGGTATACTACCCTGAAGGCTCTATAAATTAATTCATCAGCTCATCTTCAAATGTTTTGAAACCCCTTAAAGTTCAGCATATGTCTATCCATATGAACAGTGTAGGGAGGCACATGTTCCATCTTCCGTAAGGGCTGTTCTACATCAGCCCCCCTTGGCGCATCGTTCAAATGTAACATGACGTAATTTCTTCCAGGGATGCCGTTCTTACATCCATGCAAGGTTGATGATGTTTCTAGGGCTATCGGGTTGAATAAGGATTTTGAAAGTACCTAGGTATAAACCAAAACTCATCTCATAGGTTGAAGTTGAAAGATAAAAAAAAACATTAATTCTCTTTATCAATAAGGAATGGGACCTTTTATATACAAAATCGACATTCACTAGTGATGGTTCCTATAAATATCCCAATTTGGAAGGGTAGTGCACTCGACCTAGACGAATCAGCCTCAGCTAGCTCTAGCATTGTCGATTTCTCGTTGGCTGAGCTTGCCTTGTTTGCATAGCATGGCCCGTTACAAGCGTCATAGTTAGGATCGTCGGTCGCTATGTGTGGAATGATCGATTCCTACGCTACGGTCGAGGCTTAGCTCGTTTAGCGATTTGAAAGTGTGCTATACTACCTTTTAAGTAAAAACGAGAAAGTAAATAAGGAGGAGCTATCGCCATTTGTCTTGTATCTTTTCTTTCTATTGAAGATTCAAATGTTAATACTACCTCCTAATTATTTACCTGGGTACTTTAATAGGTTGATACCCTGTGTTGTACATGTCAGCCTATCACATATCACATACAGGTATAAATAACCAAGTACACATATACTCGCCTCCATCCCCTCGATCCTTCGATCTCCGATCTCCATGCTAGCATTACCATTTTCACCTATACCAGCATCATAACGCGAAAGAGCCTCCAAACTCAAACTTGCAACCATGGCACCCCATTTCCAAGACGAGAAAAAAGGAGAGAATCATCAGGATCAACCAAACGACCCGCCCCCTCCGTACTCACCACAGGCTGCTGTAGAAGCTGGTCCTAGTACGCAACCGCAACAACAGCCGCGGCAGAAGAATATCCCACGTCAGTTCCCGCCCGCGTTTAGCATGTACAATGAATCGAGCTTCGGACAGCGTAAGTACATGATCGGCGAGCACCAGTCGACTCCATTGTACGCCGTTTCCCTACATAGCGGATGGTCGGGGCAGCCGGATGTCGTGTTGCATAATGGACCGAGTGATAATCGGCCACCGCTTGCAGGGGTGGAAAGAGACAGTGTGAGTACTTACCTACCTACTTGACTTTCATTCCACCCTCCTCCCGTCCTTAATATAGGATTAGACTTTCGGCCCGTCCCGGAGCCAAGAACTAATACTACCGGGATGTTTGCTCTTGCTTACATTGCCTACCTTGCCTAACTCTTACCTTCTAATATATCGGAAGTGCTATACACATACTAACAAGTCACAGTGGAGCAACTCCGCAACAATCACACTCCCCGTGCTTCCGGGGTCAGGGACACAAGCCAAGACCGAGCGGCTGGAGTCGACGGGCGGCTTCGGACATCCGGCGTATACGTTTAGCGTTGAAGCTGGTTCGGGCAACCGTCGTGAGGCTTTTGAATGGCGCCATACATCTGGGTCTGCGGTTGCGTCGCTTGGAGGACGTAGTTCGGGATGGAAGTTGCTGCGCTTGTCGACGGATGCGCCGAGTGGGGTTGTGGGAGGGGGGAGTGGGAAGTTTGTAGGTGGAGGGGCTTCGTCGAGTGATGGGAAGGAGGTTGTTGCTGTGGTATGCGATGCCCCCCTCCTCGATTGTTTAACCGAATAATGATTTTCTAACTGGCGCTGCTATAGTGGGCTTGGGCCAGCGGTAGCTTGACGAAAGTGTTCAAGTTCCAATTCCTCGGTAGCGGCGCGAATGGCGTCCTGGGCGAACGCTGGGCTATTATGGCTGTCGCCACGGCGCTTAAGATTTGGGATCGTGAGAGGCGGGCGAGGAATTCGAGCGCGGCGGGTGCTGGCGGTGGTGCTGGAGCTTAGATTGCTTTGTCTGGTGGCGGCGCGATGTCGTTGGGGTTTTGTTGAGAAAGAGTCGGTACACTACACTAAAGGCTCGATTCACGCCTTTCCCCTCCATGGAATGTTCTTTTCGTCAGTATATCCTCGGGACAACCGCGATAGGCTATCGTGGCCGGATCTTTTTCGTCGGCGTTTGCCCGAGGGGTTTGAGGCTTTTGTAATTGTTACTTAGTAGAAGATCATTATTCAGGATTTCGAATTAGTCATTATACCCTATAGAATTACGAGTTTCCGTTTATTTGTTTGTTTTCGATTGCATGGTAGATTTTCTGGTATCGTGACAGCCTCAATTCGGGGCTGGATCATCAGGACCAGGTACCAAGAAATAACGCATTTTTCTTCATCGGATCGCGATCCGTACGGCGCAGACGAGTTAGAACCAACATAATAAGTTAACCCGACCCCTGGCGAACACGCGACTCCTGCAAGTCAATGATATGTCTCCGAAGAGCTGAAAGTCGTTGGCTTTGTCCTTCTCCAACTCGTTCTAGAAAAGGCTGCGATTTACTATTCGGAGCTTCCAGTTCGGTCGGTCGCATCCATGTGCATTACTGATGCTCATTTCGAAGATGCCGACACTTTTTCGCGTATACGAACGAGGCTCACTGAACAGCCTTGGGAATCGGGCGAGTGAGTGAATTATGACACTGCGCTATCGTGGATGGATTGAAGCGGCGTGGATGCATCCTGCCTTTTTCAGTAAATGGTAGATGGTATTAAAAGGTGAAAATGTACTCGACTAGAGATCAATTGACTATATGCGTTCAGTTATTCCTCTTTCCATTGTATCATATCCGAAAAGCTTCTTACCATGGCACCTCTCGCGACAAACCGAGTATTGGACGAAACTAGCTCTATAGGGTCGTCTACAGAAGCAATACTCACCTCGTTATTGCAATCCACTCCTTACGATATATCCCATACCTTCGAAGTAGCGAGACCAGAATCGTCCGCCTCTAACGAACCCCGCTCCGACTCCGATTCCCATCGCAACGGTGACGGGGGCGCGATTGTGGGCATTGTGTTGGGTGTTTTGGTTGGCCTCTTCGCAATATGGCGATTAATCTTCCTCTACCGTCGCTTCGGAGGATTTAATCCCTTTCGACGAGCCGTCCAGCAGAATGAGCCGTCAACAGAGACACCGCAGAATCGAGATTCAAGGTCGAGGATGGCCAGATGGTTTGGGCGTAGACATGATGGTCCGGACGAGCATGAGGTACGGGATTTGGGGCACTCGGATCGCAATGCGGCATTGTGACCCGTTCAACTCTTGGTTCAAATCTAAAGAGAGAAGCAATGGGATTTTCTCATGATTTAAATCAAGTAATTGGTGTATTAGCTTCACAATATTCGAAACTGATTAACGGTCATTATTTCAAGAGTTGGTTGTATTTGATTAGGGTAGGAATATTTCATCTTAGCGATGGCTCCAGCTGAAAAAGCAATGATTTGGTGGCGTTTTTGCGTGCTAGGTACTCTTCCGATAATAGCTACCTCTATCTTCCCCTAAACAACTCAGCATGTTAAGCACTTGCTAACAGCGAATAAGCCATGTATGCTACCTAGGTAGCTAATATTGTACGGACATAACTCAGGAGCCCTTTTAGATTTAATCACTTCAAGGTAAGTCCCACCAACTTTCATGTACATCCCTTAAGTCGATAGTAGCTGGGTCGCGAATGTACGGCGTAATGTCAACGCTAAGATCCTGTTCTTTCTTAGTATTTCCGAGACCGAAGTACCAAGCCAACCCATTCCCGCTCTCCCCGAGATATTCGTACTCCCAATCCTCCCAACGCGGATCGCGATAGATAATTGTTACATGCGTTGCGCTCCCGGGCCAGAGACCATGTATCCTGCTTCCGGGTCGACCACTATTATACCAAGAGCTGCAGTTCTCGGATAACACAGTGGTCTCGAAGAAAGCATCCGAATAATCCACAAAGTCATCAGCGGCCTTACGCGACGGCTGGATCGTCTTGATGCCCTCGCGACCGAACTTGCGTAATAGCTTCGCCCAGAACGTGACCTGGACCTCCACGCTATGCGGGACGGTCCCCGAACGGCCAGACCCGTGAGGTCCATGAATAAAACCTAAATTGGGGAAACCGGGTGTTGCGACACCGAGGTATGTGTATGGGAAGCCATACTCGCCGTTTTGTTGCCAAAGCTCGGAGAGGTTCTTGCCGTGTGCCCAAATACCGAATGGAGGGACCATATCGACATTGGCTCCCGTGGCACAGTAAATGGCGTCGACCTCACGGTGTTTACCGTCGACAGTCTCGATACCGGTTTCAGTGAAACGTTTTATGTGTGTCTGGATATACTCAACATTGTCCTCCGTAATAGCCTCAAAGTAACCAGGTCCAGGAGTAAGTCGTCGACAGTGAGGTGAGAAGTCGGGAATAATGCTTTCGAGAAGTTCAGGCTTCTTAGCCAAACGCTTCTTAGAAATCTCAATAAATTCTTGCCGAGACTTCTCGTTCAACTCGGATCCCTTAAGCCAACTAGAGAATCCTCTCCAATATTTGGATTCCAACTCCTTTCGAAATTTAACATAGTTGGCCGGGTCCTTGAAAGATTCTTGGAGCTCGGAAGATATGGGGATAGGCTCAATGGAAGTCTCGTCGCCGGCGAAAGACGCCGCGACCCACGTCCTATTCCGAGCATAAACATCTAGATGCTGCACACGTTTTTGGATATTAGCAGTGAGCTGGAGACCGCTTGCTCCATTGCCTATGATCGCAACCCGCTTCCCGGTAGGATCAAAGTTGGGGTCCCAGTTGGAAGCATGCCGAAGTAAGCCCTTGGAGTCGTTGATTCCGGGATAGTCGGGCAGCTTCCAAGCATTAAAACGACCGTGGGCCGTCAGTACGAAATCGAACTCTTCACCAAAGGCCTCCCCCGTTTTAACGTCCTGAGTTTTTACGGTCCATATGTATTTCTTCTCGTCCCAACGTAATTCTTCCACCTTCCGAGAGAATTTGAGGTATTGGTACACATCATATTTTCGAGCGAGTCCTTGCCAATAATCCCTAATCTCACGGCCCTGTGCGAACTGCTCTGACCAGTTGACATTCGGCGCAAAGCTGGTTTGGTACACATGTGCTGGCACATCGCATCTCACACCTGGATATATATTCTCAAACCATGTACCGCCCTGTTACTAGTTAGTAGAAGTACACCTGTTAGGCTTCTCTACATCCCCACTCACCACGTCGGCATTCTTCTCGAATATTGTCAGCTTAAGATTCGGAACCTTCGCAGGAAGAAGAATCCCAGCTAAGACTCCAGAAAGTCCTGCACCAATGACGGCAACTCTTAACTCTCTTGGCTCGTCTATGTGTCGCTGCTCTAGTTTAAGGGTTGACCTCGGGTAGCCGGACTTCTGTGGCTCCTTGAGTAGCGGCTCGATTGTCTTCTTAACATTCTCAACTACCGGTACCTGCACACCATTTGTTGGTTTTTCTGGTATGGTTGAGGCACTGGTCTGCTCCGAGCCGTCGATAGTCATATTGGCAAGAGGCTTGCTTAGCCACCTTCGTTCAGTACAAATGACAAAACTTCAACCAAATAAGTTTCTATGTCTATTCATTTTCTTTGATACCCGGCCAGAACCAATCTTATAGCCGCTAGACTGAAGTTATCATTAAACGCGTTATGATTTGACTAATGCCGTGTTGTCCACCTACCACGTCTACAATAGGCGAAGCACGCAATAGCCCCCGCCTCTTTGCACCTCCGCGATAGGACGTCCGGGTAGCAATCAAGCTCGCGGTTAACATCGCATTCCAGCTAGCATTGTCACATCGAGACTAGACAAATGTCGTGATATGATAAAGCTACATAGGTACCGATGTGGGAATTGATACTATATGATTGCGGGTTGAACCCATGTGATACGATTTATGGTTACTTCGCCGAATTCCTAAGAGAAGTCATACAGAGCCAAGTCAACTAAGAAATCAACTGTGAATTCGATCTCAAGATGGCTTCTTCAGAGGGAAAGAAACAGATTTTGCTGAATGCATTTGATATGTCAACTGTTGGTCACCTCTCTCCCGGCCAATGGAAGGTAAGTATTCAGTCCTATGTATAGACATATACTTAGCTAATAATTTATAAGAATCCCGTCGATAAATCAGCAACGAAGCGCAATCTTGAGTATTGGATAGAGCTCGCGAAACTGCTGGATAAGGGAGGATTCAACGCTCTATTCCTTGCTGATACATATGGAGGCTATGACACCTATGAGGGAAGCTTAGATAACTGCATCAGACGAGCTGCTCAATGGCCAATGACCGACCCAACTATCGTATGTTCTCCAAAATGAGTTTTCGTCTTGTTGAGCGGGACTAAAACCCAAGTTTTGGGCAATAGCCGATCGCGGCAATGGCAGCTGTGACAAAGAACTTGTCATTTGCCATCACTGCTTCGACATCCTTTGAACCCCCTTTTCTATTAGCAAAGCGATTTTCGACCTTGGATCACTTCACTGGGGGTCGATTCGGTTGGAATATTGTCACCTCATGGAAGAAGGCGGCGTTTAAAGCTATCGGCCTCGATAATCCCATTGAGCACGACGAGCGTTATCGCCAAGCCGATGAGTATTTGAGAGTCCTATACAAGTAAGTCTTTACAGTCAAAAATTGCCAAATTCGATGAGGGTTAACACGTATTTCTAGGCTTTGGGAGGGCTCATGGGCCGATGATGCCATATCCCCTGATCCGGAGAACGACAGCTATGCGGATCCAGACAAGATCCGTACAATTAACCACAAGGGGAAGTATTTCACACTCAACTCACGTCACATCGTCGACCCGACTCCTCAGCGGACTCCTTTCTTATTTCAAGCTGGAACTTCACCCGCAGGTTCCGAGTTTGCTGCTACACACGCGGAGGCAATTTTCGTGTCCTCTCACTCACCTTCTGTTCTTCGGCCCAAGATTGCCAAGATCCGAGAGTTAGCCGCTTCTAAGGGTAGGGATCCGAGCTCACTCAAGTTCTTTTCAACCCATACCCCTATTATTGGGCGTACCGATGAAGAAGCACGCGCGAAGTATGAGGAACTCCAGAAATACGGCTCGGTCGTCGGTGGCCTTGTCTTGGTTAGTGGGTGGACTGGAATTGACTTATCTAAGATCCCCTTGGATCAAGAGATCACCGCAGCGGATTCGCTGGAGGCTCATAAAGTACGCAGCATCTTAGACTCATTTACTACTACAAGTGAGAGCATACCGAAATGGACGCCTCGTGTGATAGCTCAAAAAGCATTCATTGGAGGTCTTGGTCCAATTAGTATCGGGAGTCCCCAGACTGTAGCCGACGAGCTGGAACGTTGGGTCCGAGAGGCAGATGTGGATGGGTTCAACCTTGGCTATGTGACTACCCCCGGCTCGTTTGAGGATGTAGTTGAGCTCTTGATTCCTGAGTTGCGACGTCGGGGGATTTACCCAGACCCACCGGAAGAAGGGGAGAAGCTTACTGCTAGGGAGAGGGTATACGGAAAGGGGCAACGTGGACTCAGGGAAGACCACCCTGGGTCTGCGTACAAATATGATCGATACCAGGAGGATCCGCCATATGAAGAGGAAGTTCCTACCAAGAATGGAGACAATTAGGTGTCATACAAGATCTGTCATTATAGTCACTAGGACGGTTAGATCAACAAACCACAAAGGGGTCATTTCTCAGGATGCGACCGCAAAACACTCATCGTACGTTACACACACACTCAATTAATGTTGCCCCCACCTTGCTTCGACGCCTCCTTTCACCGGAGTATGACGACTATGGCGTGCAACCTATATTGGGGAACCCCGCCCATGCCCTATGGCGTGATTGGGTTCCTCATCTTGCGTGATCGTAGCCAAGCAAGCCGCAATACCAAACCATACGAATCACTACCTAGGTACGGCATCGTATGGCGATAGCTTGCAATCGGGCGGGCGAAAGCGCCGGCAGTCGGAGGCCATTGTCGATTGGATAGTCTAGTCCCGATACTGCAATGATGCAACAATTAAGCTACGTAAATGCCTTCGAACAAATAGGCCGGAATATCAACAGCATTTTGAAACTTGTGCATTGAACGGTATTCATAGCGTCAAAATGAGTAGCAACGGAGCCACTAAGAAGAGCCTTGTGCTCAATGCCTTCGTGATGATGTGTATGTCCCATACATTAAAACATAGAATCTGCTGGCTTATACCGAATTATAGGCAGTGGGCATCAGTCCCCCGGTCTCTGGAGGCACCCAGATGATGAGTCCTGGCGTTTTAATGAAGTATCTCATTGGGTCGAGCTGGCGAAGTTGCTCGAAAAGGCCAAATTCCATGGCATTTTCATTGCCGACGTCCTGGGTTTGATTAATCATAAAATTGCTTTATATGAGCATCGTCGCTAATCACAGACTTTAGGAGGATACGACGTATATACCAAGACATTAGATCCCGCAAAGGTCACAGGGACCCAATGGCCGGTGAATGAGCCCCTAACAGTTATTGCCGCTATGGCGGCGGCAACCGAGAGTATAGGTTTCGGCGTCACGGCGTCGACTACCTACGAACAACCCTTTCACTTCGCAAGGCGTTTATCGACGGTTGACCACTTAAGTAAGGGAAGGTGAGTTTATCCTCATGGTATTGTATGGCTTAGGTATACACTAATCTTGTGTAGACTAGGTTGGAATGTTAGATAAAAATTCCGTCAAACCGTACTGAGGGATACTGAGCTGAACGGCTACTTAGATTGTTACGAGTTACCTTGACTCAGCGGCGAGGAATATGGGCTTAATAGAACAGCCAAAAGTGGGTGAGGATGCCTCGTGAGAAATTCATGGCTCTAATTAGGTTACAAATAGCACGACGAACGCTACGCACAGGCCGAGGAGTACGTTAAGGTTATCTACAAGCTTCTAGAGTCCTCTTGGCGGGACGATGCCGTGAAGCTAGATCGCAAATCAGGTATCTACACCCAACCAGATCTAGTAAGACCAATCAACCACGAGGGCAAGTACTTTAAGGTGCCTGGACCCCATATTTGCCAACCCAGCCCCCAGCGTACGCCCCTTGTCCTTCAGGCGGGCACATCTCGTGCGGGAAAGCAATTCGCCGCCCAGCATGCTGAAGCTATCTTCGTGTCGGCCCACGCGCCAGAGGTCATAGCGAAGAGTATCGCGGAAGTTCGTGAAATCGCTAAGACACAATTTGGACGGGATCCTACCGATATCAAGGTCCTAGCACTAGTAACAGCGATTCTAGGGCCCACAGAGGAGGAAGCTCAAGCCAAGCTAGCCGACTACAAGAAATATGCTTCACACGAGGGAGCCCTTAGCTTGTTTGGTGGCTGGACTGGCATCGACCTAGATCAGTATGGTGATGAAGAGGAATTGAGACATGTTGAGAGCAATGCTGTGCGGTAAGCATGATCAGATGCAACTCCCTATTCGTTCTAGCATTAACCCAGTCTACCCCAGATCTACCGTCGAAGGCTACGCCAAATTCTCGCCAGGGACCTCGAAGTGGACTAAACTTACAATCGCTGAGCACATAGCTATCGGAGGCAATGGCCCCCTATTCGTGGGGACACCCTCGCAAGTAGCCGATGGGCTTGAGAGCTGGGTTAATGAATCTGATGTCGACGGGTTCAACTTTGTAAGTAACCCTGTTAATGCTTCGCTACTATTTGGTCAGTTACATAATCTCACCATAAATCACAGGCATACGCTCTCTTCCCTCAAAGCTTCAAAGACATCATCGAACTTCTGATCCCCGAGCTCCTCAGCCGGGGCCTGTTCTGGGATGACTACGCAGTGCCAGGAGGTACATACAGAGAGAATTTCTACCAAAAACCAGGACAGACTGGCCCTCTCGACTCGCACGTTGCTTCCTCTTACAGGTGGAAGGCAGGTGTAGCACCAGAAGACCATGTGATACAAGATTAGCAGTAACCCCTGAATATACGTGAAGCAGGTAAACATGCGCAATCATCGATTACAATTTGCCTGAGGCTATGTTAACTAGGATGGTTACTTGAGTGCCTAATCAGGAGAAAACAAATATCGTAGGATTTCGTACTAAGTATTATACGTATTAACCAGTTAACTAGAACGAAGTCTAGTTATTCATGAGTAGATCAGGTTCGTATCCCACTCCCTTCCGCACATTCGCAACAATAGGATGCTATGCCTTACCTGGTTGTCGGATATGAACTCACGAGGCCTCACCTAAGCAGTAGAATACAATTCGCGCCAACGGTTACACAAACACATTCCAAGGGTTCAAATCGTATACAACCATTTAATGTCGACCTTGACAGATGCACCTAACCTCAAGACGCGACCAGGGGTAAACACGAACCTACGGCTAGTTAGAGGCAACATTAGGATCGTAGGATGAGACGAAAACAAACAGAACGGAGATGAATCAGAACCACTAGATGCCTCCACCGGACATTAGATAGAAACAACGACGAAACGCCCTAAGAAACAAAAATGACGAAACAATCAAACCCAACCCAACGTCCCAACCCCGGCCTCGTTGTTCATAACTCGATTCGGATTGTCGTTCGTGATGTCGTCCTAGAAGGATTCGCTTCGGCTGACGTTGCCCGAGACCTAGGTAAGTATCTGCGTGCCAGGGAGGGTTTAAACGAACGACAGGATCTTCTCATTCCTACGTGCCATGTGTGCAAGTATGTATGTACAACAATGCATATGAGCACATTTCGTCAACAAACTTCCCTGACGCTAACGATATCCCTCAAAAGATCCCTGGCACCAGCGGCAGCAAACTATACACACTATTACACACCAAACTAGCCCTATACGTATGCTGTCCACACGCCTCCGCATTGTGGGATCGTCATGCGGCGGGTATAACATGTGGCTGCCCTGCTCAACCCTGCCCTGGTTTTCTGCCCATCCCATATATGTCCTACCCTACCCTACCCTGCCTTGGCTTGCCCTGCATGCCCTGCCGCGCTAACAGCCCATCATCCATTTCCACCTACCTCTCTCTGTCGCGTTTTGCGCCCGGCAGACCCGATTCGGAAAGGATGCGGTTTCCGGATCGGGCAGGAAGGATTGAGGGATTCTCCCTCAGCTGAGTGAGCTGGGCGAAGCCCACCATTTTCACTCATTTTGTTTTTGCGTGATATTTCCTATATAACAAGAGACAACCGGATCGTCGCATTTCCGGAGCGTATGTGCGTTTTGTTGAGTGACATATTACCTAGGCGGTGTTGCTGCAAGTTTGTTGTCGGGCGAACGTTCCCGTCCCTACGGTGACGATGTAACAAGACCTGCTGAGCCTCCTCATACTATATTATTTGCTCTCAGCTGACTGGCTGGCTATATAGTATGTACATCAGATACCCAGTAGAGACGGGACGTATGAGGTAGGTACCTTGTATGGGCCTGCTGAAAAAAAGTGATCTTCGAGCCTATCGAGTCGAATCCCGTAATGTCACTAACTGACGCACTACCGACGATCAATCAGATCACCCGCTAGCTTCGCCAACCCGTAAGCAGCCTGTTTACCTAACCTACGCATACACACAGACACACACCATACACACCGCGGCGGATCGGAAACGGCCGAATCAATAAGACCTAAGCTACCTATAGCTAGCACCTTTTCCCCGATCCCGTCAAATGGCCCATGTCTGCCTATATGTACTATGTATGTACGTATGTAGGAAGCATGTATGTGGGTGTGCGTATGTATGTATGTAGGCAAAACTAGGTAGGTGAGGTAGTATTCGTCCCATTGTATATTATGTACGCCGTGTTTCATAGATATTACTCTTATTAAGCCGCGCACGCAGTAGAAGGGTAGGGAAAAGCTTGGCTTTTCCTTGGTCTACATTTGATTTTTTTTGCGCTACTGCGCCCGTGAGGCGTTCGCACCTAGGCTGCCCCATTCTCTTGCCGTTCAAGTAGGGTAGGCAATAGGTGAATCTGTATGGTTGAGAAATGGGTCGTCGTCGAATCAACGGAAAGCTGCTCTACATGCAGTCAGCAACAGCGTCCCATGCCGCCACAGCGTCGCAGCGCAGCATCTCAGTGGGTGTGTGTGTTTCTGGTTTCGAAAAAGAAGAAGGGGGGGATGATGAGGGGCTCAGACCGGGCCGCTTGGCTGTGGCCGCGTCGCGGTCCTGTTGAGTTGAATTGATGATGAGCGAATAGCAATTCAACGTTCCATCAAATGTTTGGCGTCGAGCGTCGAGTCATGGTAACAATGGAAGGGGAGGCGCCCTGTTTGTTGTTACCTACATACACATACATACATACATACGTACAAAGCCACCAACGCGGCCGGGAATACAGACAGGACGTATGTAGGTTAGGTAGGTAGGAGGTAGGTATTCTCGAAAACTCGTCGGTGAAAGCTGTGGCCCTGAGGACCGCCCGGCCCTCCACTCTTCTACATACATAACACCCACAATCTACACACCTAACTACCGTAGCGCTTGCGCGTTCGGCGAAGACATAAATGATACCACCTTCTCTCGACTGACTGGACTGCCGCCCGGCAACTATCCGTCTACCTTTCCCCTAAGCTAGCGTTAGATCAAGAGCGTTTCGCGATGATGACAGGTGACATATCGTCTCTCCTTCTCGCTACCTAAATAAAGAAAGGGGCAGAGAACGTGTATGTGATTCTGCAGGTAAGAAAAATTGATCGATTTGGGCATCAGCCAGGTCTACCGAATGCGGTCCAGATCGGCGCATCGTCCTTCCTGAATACTGGGTTATGTATGTCTGTACGAAGTACGAGTGTAGGTAGGCAGGTATGTACTGTATAAATGTACACCGTGTCGTCATGGTCAACCAAGCCCGCTACTGCGAGTCATCATGCATCGCTAATGCTGCGTGTGCAGCGGCTATGTTGCGAAGAGGCGCTTGTAAACGAACAATGAGCGCTGTAAGTGGTCGGGGAACTATCGTGTGATTTGGAATAGAGTCGCGTTGATCACCCCTAGGTCAGATATTCCCATGTGGGTTTTCTTCGCCGTCGTCTGTTTAGGTACCGGGTAGGTAAGGTATGGCAATGTAGCACTGCTGGGGAAGTAAGAGCTTCGGCGACTAGCCCAGAAGGAATCTGTATCCCTTTGAGGGATGCGTCTGACATGTCTCAATGCGGATGCATGGGAGGATTTACCTACCTCGGCAGTCAAAACGTCGAGCCTTTTTACTCTTTCAATTGGAGCCTCCGTATTCAGCCCTAAAGGGGTATAAGGACCGGTAGTAGTTGTAAGGGGAAGAAAAAAAGGAGTAACATAGCTAGAGAGATGCTTGCCGTTATGGCAATTAGTACTCGGTCGCTTGTGTAAGCACTTAACAATAGAGAATGTTATCGGCGCTGGCCGGATATAAGCCCAAGCTTCTTAGGAACCCTTGGCCCACGTGTTAGAGGTCAATTACCAAGCTTCTAATTGCCGTATTCTCCGTCATAACGCGAATCTCCGAGCTATAGCTCTTGGCCTATAGTTCCAGCGATCGCAGTTCATGCGAATTTGTTCCTCTGCTCCCACTAACTCTCGGACACCTGCTAATAATAGCATTTCCCGGTAACATTAAGTAAATAATAAAGCAACACATCGCGAAAGGAAGTAATGTAAATAAGGGGACGAAGAGTAAGAAAATCTAACGCTGTCATCAGTAATTTCAGTCTATTCTCGGAAACGGGGAACCTCGTCTACAACCTTAGGTGCGTCGTCAATCGTTGCATAACTGTTTTGGGATAAGAAAATAAGATGGAATGGTGAGATTGAGGGGTGAAATGAGATGAACACTCCAGCCTGCGTCTACATGTGCATCTTTGTCCATACACCTACCTACATACACCTCTTACCACACCAATTAACCCTCCCTTCTCCCCGTGGGGGGAGAAAGTAAGAGAGCGGCTGCTAGATTGCCGTTGCATCGAGCCTGACATGAATAGCGGCTTGGGCGCGTGTGTGGGCGCGAATCATGAGTCGTCTGACCACTTAGCCGTCTGGCGCGCGGGTATATTTTGCAATTTTTTCAACTGCTTCCCCTGAGCAATTTGCATCTCCCTTACTCACATCGCATTCATACTGTACTGTAAGTATCCTCTTGTTCGCAGCGGATATCGGGGTAAAAGTAAAGCAGGCTCTGCAAGTAAGGGAATCGGACGAAGATCGTAGTAGTCCGGACGGACGTTTTCTAAGGCTGCTACGTGACACAAGTGGCGGTGGGCATATGCCCGCTACTAATATTTCGGACAAGAAGCAAAAACTGCCCAATTTTTTTTATTTCATTTTCTTAGTCTCGGATCACTTGACTTACATTTTACATTGTAAGATAGATTATTGACATGCAACTGAATGCGAAGCCATTACTACGTCCAGCTTCCCACAGGTACTGTCGTGCGACGCAGAACACAACCTATATTAAGTAACGTTTAGCAGTTCGTCTGCTTCCCGACCGGCTACGGTAGCTAGGTAGAACTGCTGCTGTGCTCAATATCTACCCAAAGCCGTGTTCTCCATCCAGCCCTTCCCGTGTTACCCAAAAGGGAACCTTTGGACGAATCATTAAATCTCCGATGATGCTCAGGGTCGGGTAGCCAATAGCGTCGCGATAGTAATCTACGGCAAATGTACAAGTAATAATACGAATGTCCTAGGCGTCGGGAAAAGGAGGTAAGCTAGTCGAACTGGGAAAAATGAATGTTTATGATGCTTTTTTCTGCACAAGGCATTTGATTACTGTATCTCGATGTACCGTGAGTTCAACATTTCCTCGCTCTTGTACAAGGAGCGATTTCTTTAGGGGGATATGGGAATATGATAGTGATGTTCAAATCGATAAAAAAACAGACATCAGATCTTGTGAACTCGATTGTATTATACACACTTTGCGTAGCTAATTCCTAGTCTTGTCCCCGGACTCTAGACGCCTACCCCGTTTTGTTCACATGGTATCTATTCGTATTGTACAAGGCTCATGCGTATTTCCTCTCTCAAATAACAAAAAATGTCCGGTGTCCAGAAACTCCAGGTCCTCTTTTCCGAGCCCATTTCTCCACACCGTAGAATGCTTTTAAACCGTCGTCATGACCCCGAAATGTATGCAGATGGATGATTTAGTACAGGTGAGAGTTATTAGTTACAGTGAATTCCAGATGATCGCCGTAGCCGCGCCATCTCATCCTAGACTGTGCTATTTGACTGTGTTAAGAGTTGGCGTGGCGCATCGGTAATCGTTTTTGTCCGGCCAAGGGGTCAATGTGTAGGTATTTTGGGGGAGAAAGCCACCGCCTCTTTCGCTTGTTAAATTATAACGTTGCTTAGAATGTCCGTAATAGTCCGAAGCCTGAAATTCCAACTCTTGTGACATTAGAGCCCATTTCTAGACTTTGGTAAAGACTATGACCCTAAGATCTGCACCAGAGGCTGAAACGCGGTCAGATAATAGCAGCGTAATAACGAGGATGCTCTCAATCATTTTCTCTCCCAGAACCAGGAGGTCCCACGGCCGATCCTACCCCAGCCACTCCAACACGCGACCTTTCATCCGACACCGCCGGAGAATTTCTTCGTGAGCCTTCGCCCTGCTGCGTCCTCATTTCCGATGCGTACCGTGGCGATGGGTGATCCGATAATAACGACGAGACTGAATGGGCACCGCTTCGAGGTTGCTGCAATGGTTCGCCCACCCCGGCTTCTCTTGGCGCGCTGAGACCGGGTGATAATCCCCGATGGGGACCAAAGGGTTCCATTCGACCACGCCCAACCGACCGATACGACGAAATATCACTTCTCTGCCGCGAATGACCTCGTCTTCGACCAGGAGGCGGATTTGATAACGTTGATGGTCCGCCATGCTGCCCGAAAGGCGGTGATCTGAAGCGCGCTTGACTCGGTGGGGGCGCTGCTTGTTGGGGGCCGGTCGCTTTTCGTTTCTTGGGCGATTCTACTAATTATCGAAGGGCAACATTAGCCAAACAAGTTTTTCTACTTGCTCGTTTTGGATTTTGACAAACCAGAAGGCGTTCCTGGCTGATTAGAGCCTCCTTGGGTAGTCGGAGGTTGCCAATGATGAAAGTAGATCGACGGAGACTGCGTATCTTGTTGTGGCTGAGCTTGCTGTTGCGTTAACGCGTGTGCTGGGTGTGGAATGCCTGACGGACCAGTAGGTCCTTCGCCCGTACTTAATCGGGGGAGAGCTGAGCTTCCTAACGGTCTTCCTACAGCTCCACCCATGCTCAAAGTGTGTGCCCTCGGTCTCGGCGAACCTGGCCCTGGATACGGCACAAAACTGGCTTGTGCACCTGCTCCAGATCCCGGCGTGGATGGAACACCGATTGTCGCTGCATACTGCTGTCCGCCGTACGGCTGGGACTCTCTTCGTGTCTCCGGCGATAACCCCCCCTGCGCCGGCATTATTTGCGCTGTGTGTGCTTGTTGCGGTGGCGCTAGATACTGTTGCGCCCATTCCATGGCTACTTGCGGGAGCGGTCCCCCGCTCATCCCAGCGAAAACAACCGGTACCATTGGTGGTGGAATTCCCCGATCTAAAGATGTTCGAAGCATTTCGTATTCTAATCTTCTCTGTTCCAGACGTAAATTTTCTTGCCGCGTCTTTTCTTCTTCCTGTTTCCTCTTCTCTTCCTCGGCCTTGGCCTGTAGCCAGCTCCTCATTGTGTCTTCAGACTGATGCGGGGGCGGAGGTGGTAATGCACCCAATACCTGGCTATGCGGAGAAGGAGCTGGCCCTACTTGAGAATGTAAAGGTGGTCCTGGAGCTGGTGGGTGAGGAGGACCAGGAGCTGGCGGCGGTGGTTGAGCTAGTGTCATGGCTGCCGGAAGAGGCAGGCCACGATGAGGTGCTGACATGGGCTTAGTGGATGGACTCTGTTTCTGCGGAAGGGCGAGGTATGGCTTCTGCAAAGAGTCCTGGACACTCAAGGGGGGCGAGGATCGAGGCGGCGTCGGTAGGTCATGGACAGGCCGATACCCGTGTTGAACTGGCTGCGTAGCTGTGAGCATCATCTCGATAGTAGAGGTGAAGAAGAGCTAGGCGGTAACAACGTGGGAACGCATGCTAAGGAAGGGGGAAAGGGAAGAAAATGCGAAAAAGCAAAAAGGGTAACAGAGGGGCAAAAGAGTGTATATGGAAACCAAAACGAGAGGTGGTGAATAACCTTTGCATAAGAGGAAAGCTGGGAAGGACGGCCAGCTTAGTAGAGAAGGGTCAGGATACGATCGGGGCTTATGGAACTTTTGGATCCCTAAGCCCAGCCTCATTTGAAGATCGGTGCCACACACATGGGTAGTAAGTTCTAAAGGATCAACTTTTTGGGGGGGAAGGGAGTTGTAGTAGCCGGTTGCGTGGTATTCTGGGCGTTGCAACTGGACATGCGCCGACACACAACAGCAAGCGGTCGAGAACCCTGGACGTTGTCTAGGAGGATCGATGCCCAAAGTAGCTCCAAGTCTCGGGAAGCACCAAGTGGGAAAGATCTTGGAACGGGTACGATAATGTGAGCAGCTAGACAGATTCTACCACTCGAAGCCGATTTAGGCAATGCCCGAAGCGGAAAGTTGAGGTCGTTCTGGGTGTGGAGTAAAAACGAGGGCCTAGCTTATCTGAAGGTAATAGTATGCGTACGTATTGTGTTCCCTAGAAGGTGGTGGTTTTTCATACAAGAATCTTGTAGAAAGTCGGATAGGAAGGGAAGGATTGTTGAGAAAATTCAGTTAGCCAGATGTAATTAGATCAGGTAGAACAGTCTGCCGGATCAAATTACGAGAGCTGGAATGTGTGTGTGTGTGTGTGTATGGTCGTTTCGAATCAGAAGCAAGCACTCGCTGTCAAAGAGAGCGTTGCCTAGACATGTTAGTTAGAGAAGAGTTTGCTAACAGGAAACTAATAGGCGATTCAAAGTCGCTTAGTCCGACGAATGTAATCAGACGAGGAGGAAGCTAAGTCAGAAGGGAAAGGCTTCTTCGCGACGACCTCATGAACTAGATGTTTAAGGTAGTTCCAAGTAAAGAGACTGGACGTGGATGTAGAAGTGGAAGAAAGTGGCTGAAGAGTTGACGAGGCGTGCCTCCGGGGGAGGAGGAGAGGGAGGGGAAGCCTTTACACGCCACTACAATGACGAGGCTGATCAAGCTGTATGTATGTACACAGATCAGATCAACATGGCCTGTCCTTGCTCCCCGTTAATATTTTTTCCTTCTCTCTCCCAGACCAGGGTGAGCAGGCCCCATCTTCCACAGTAAGTAGGGCAAGGGTTGGATTTTTTTCTCTCTCTTCTAGTGTAGTCCGACCTTGGGATGGTGTGTTTATAGGGCTAGTGTGGTATCTTTTCGCCGCAAGTCCCCTTTTCTAGTACTTGTGTAAATACGTATATACAACATACCTGAACAGAGGAGAGAGGGACCTTCAAGGGCTTGGCTCTACCCTGTTTCGAAGTTCGAGTCTCGAAGGAAGCACAAAGCCCGGGGGGTGGGAAAGACTCAACCTGCAGGGTCGATCCCTCGACGTCGGAAAAAGAATAAATGTCAAGGAGGATGCGAGAGAGACGGACGAATCAACGAATGTGGGGGGTGTGGAAATATTAGCAAAGCGGCTACCTAGCACCTAGCTTGGCTTGGGTAGGTATGGGCGTTGCTTGCTTGACTAAGGTATGGTACATATTGTACATACATGCGTACTTACATACTAGGTATACATAGACTATGTACACATAGTAACAGTAACGGGGTAAGAAGAGAAGAGAGGTGGATGGATTGAAGTGGAGTCTGAGGAAAAAGAGAAAGAGAGAGAAAAAATAAGAGACTGTACGGCGCATATGTGGGCAGATGGGACGAAAACTAATAAATAGACGCTTTTTCTGCTGTAAGACGTGTCAAGAAGAGAAGTTCGAGACTTGAGATAGGATAGATAGGATGGTGCAGGGTAAAATTCTCGCGAAGAGATAATCTAGAATCCGGACGATCTTTGGGTCTTTTTTGCCTTTCTTTTCTTCCTTTTCTATTCTCTCTTCTCTCGTGGCGCTGTTTTACCAGGTATCTCTCTCTCTATACATACACGGTTGTATGGAGGTAGCTGGGTAGTAAGGCAGGTTAGAATCTATAATTCATACCGGGAACGGATAGATATAGGCAATACGCATGTACGAAACCTGCTGCGTACATAGAAATACCTGTAAATGTAGGAATATGTGTGTGTAAAACAAGTATATTTCTATAGCAGATCAAGTATTTTGTTGTACTGTGCGTGTAAGTGAGTTAGGTACTTGTACCCATGTGGTTTAGTGTATGTAGGAGGAGGGAATTCGGCAGAGACCGTTGGTTAGGTACTAATGTCGATAGGTCGAAAGGGGCAAGTACAGTGCCGCATGTACTTGTCCATACCAGACTTGGAAATAGTAGCGTCAGCAGCTGAAAAGTGGAGTACTTTTTTTCTTAGGCCTTATACTAGATGTAGACAAGTGTATGTACATGTATACAGGTACTCGAGTTATGTACATAAAATCTTAATGTATATCCAGGTATGTACATCTGTCTATGTACATATGTATGGTCGGTATTATGGCTGAGCAGCAAACCTCCTGCTCGACGCTCTACCTACATATAATACATGCAAGTACTCACATCCAAATACTTCCCATGATAAAAAGACCACCCGCCCAGCCACAATTTACCTACATATACGGGGACAACCTCTCGAGTCATGCTGCGGGAGAACATGGAGGAACATCGTATGTATTGCATCAAACAGTTCGTGTACAATTAATGGTTCGGAAACCCAAGTAAAAACCTGTTGTTTGTGTGGGTGGATGCGTATGCGTGGCTGTACCAAGCAGGTAGACATCTGCATACCTACCACCTTAAGAACAGCGAGCCTATGTACACAGTAAGGAGACTTACAGTCTTGAGATACATGTATGCGGGTTTCTATACTGTGCGTTACTGTACGGAATCCTCGCCGGTCCTTCCTGTCTAGCGTATGCAGGCCTGTACATGTATATATGTAGGCCGTCTGCATGGAAGAATGGCCTTGAAAGAGAATAGGCTTGAGATTAGTGAGTAACTAGTATGTAACGAGTTCCAATCCCACGCTCTGTATCAGAGTATGATAGATATATGCAGTTTGGGACTTTTGTGCAATGTAACCTACCTACAACACCTGATATGACTTTAGATACCTTTATCTAGGTTATATATATATAAGTATGTGAGTGTGTAAGCATGTACATAATGTAAGAAGTCTCATTGTATGCAGTATGAATCTAGTATAGTGAATATTTATGAAGGTATCGTGCCAACCCGGTAAATACCTGCAGCAGGTAGGTTAGGTACTCCATGTAGTTAGTTGACGCACTCAAAACTGCCATGTACATGGGCAAGCAAAAGCAAAATATGCAGAACGGCGGGGTCTACCCATTTCCATATACATACCTCAGAACAAGGGGTTTAGGCTGGTCCCGTAACCAACCTGTAAGATTCCAACGGTGTAAGCTGTTGAATATTCCCGATCTCGCAACGGGTCGATAACGCGCCGCGCGCAACGGGGACAAACAATCCTAGCAGCTTGGCAGCTGACTTCCTGTTTAGAAGATCAGCGCTATTCCTGCTATGTAAAATCGGTCTAGGTTAGGTAGGTAAATAAATACGAACAACAGTAATACATATACTTTGCGATTCTGCGGCCGCGTGGCTGCTGTGACGGCCGTGACGTCCCTTGCCTAGGAGAAAGAGAAAAATGTTCGCCTGGCACACAAAGATTCCATTTTCCGTTTAGAGAAGAACGCCGTGTCTCGGGACCGAGGTTGTGACCGTGTTGTTTCGATTTGTGTATGGATAAAAACAAGAGCTCGCCCTAGGGGTAGGTATTGGGCAACGAACGAGTCTGACCAGTTGGAGGGGACGGCTTAAACTACCCAGGCACCCTACATAGTACGTAGCATGTAACATGTAGCATGTAGAGCCGTGTAGTATGTAAAATGTATGTAGGATATGTAGGTAGGGTACCTAGAAGGGTCTAGGCAAGCATTCTTTTTTTCTCTTTGCATGGGGTTTCGCCTTCTCGCAGCCCTTGTCGGCAATGTTTCAAAATCAACCCGATTAGGCAAGTCGATCTCTCATATTTAGACGTTTCAACTAAGGCGGAAAACTGGGGGCTCGGGGAATTGAAGGGGGCCTGCAATTGAGGTAGCAGTAACTTCGTCACATACCTACATCTGTATAAATTGCCGTCATTTCCAAAGTCTGGTCTTGCCGGGTCACAGCCAACCCGGGGAATGAGAATTACCTCATCTACCTCTATATGTATAATAAATCCGACTCGTGTGAATGCCCGCCGGAGACCGTCCATCGAACTCCCTGAAACATCGATCGCGTATGTAGGTACCTTCAACTTTCTATGACATATACATAAGGTGTTCACGACGAGGGTTTCGGATTCTCAGCGCCGGGGGTACCTAGGTCTCGTTGACAATTGTGTCGAAATAGGGAAAGGGCATCGTCGTTGCAGAGATGTAAGTGGCGGAGCGTAGGGCAATTAACGGGAGGGGTTGCGGAGTTAAAACCCAAAGACAGTACCGTGCCATAGAGCAAGGTAGGGCAGTAAAGCAGTAAAACAACAGCAGCTACCTAGGTACCTTGGTAAGGAGGGGCAGAGTTCGGAAAATCCACTAAGCCACAAACAGATGTACTAGTACCCATGCAGCCCCGAGGAGAGCTTCACACCGACAAGGGTTACATGCAGATAAGTACCTGGTAACGCTTATTTACACGAAGCTATCACCCATTTTCATGTCGTATTCCCTTACTTAAGTTTGTTGATGTTTCCGTCTTTTACGATGTGTTGCGACCCTAAGAGCCCGAGAGGAGTTGATTATTTTAACAGTTTAGAAGCTGTATCAGGCAAAATATGATATTGAAGAAAATATTGTTTACTGAACCCCTGAAGAAATAATCCCTACATAAGTACTTCCCCAGGTAGGTAAATTTGTGCGTATAAGCTTGTATGTATTCAC